TGCTCACTGCTGCAGTTGAGCTTTCTTATTGGTTCCTCTTGTGATTCAATAAGCATGGGATGCACCTCAATTGTAAACGCAGGCGAACCCAAATGGGAAGAAATGACGATGTCTGACTCAATTTAGAAGGCTGAATTATTTCTTTATCATAACTATGCTAAAATACATTAATATACTCTATAAAAGGAGGATACTAAAACTACATACTACTTTCTCTGACTCTAACACAACTCGTGACCCTCTCTGGAGAGTCCAGTCACAGGTGGGTTGGATTGGCCATCAGGCTCAAACAATCCTCACCAGAATCCAACCAAGCACTCACTTCAGGTAAACAATTCTCCAAACACATTCCACATAGGAAAAACAAGGAGCAGAAATAGAAATTGTTTTCTCTTTCATTTCTCTCTGTGCACTTCTATAAAAAATCCTGAGAGGGAGAGAAATGTGCTTGCCACTCACCTCCACAGCAGCATTGAGGGCAGCAGGACACCCAGCTAGCACTGCCTGCCCTTGGGTGTCACACTCCCACCTCAGAGCTGCCCTGGTGTGGAGTGCCATCTCCTGAGGACAGCAGCAGCCCTGCATGAAAGCAGGAGGCTGGCAGGATGCACACTCACACTTCTTTAGCCTGCTGTAATCCTTCACTGAACAACTAGTCACAAGCTGATTTACCTGACTGTGGCCAGAAAGGAATAAAAAGGCACAGAATTTCTTTGTTGTTAATACTTCACTTTGTAAGGGAAAGAGCTGCTTGGACAAATTACTGATCCATTCAGAATTTCAGATGATCTTTAAAGAAACGTGCATGCAATAAAAGGGCATGAGTGATATTTTTCTTTGCTAGCTATACAGGAAATTGCTTGGTTTTATCCAAGCAAGACCAAATATGGTCTCTACAAATAATAAATCCATTCTTACAGAACTGATGGATACTTTCAACAGGCTGCAAGATCCACTGTTTTTATAGTCTGTGTATTGTGTGCTGCAGATAAATAAAAGATGCCCTAAGGATTTTGCATACTAAGTGAATATGCGAAGTATTACCAAGCTCCTTTATTTTCTCACAAGCAAAGGGGTACTGTTTTCCTTCAAAGTGCAGTTCTTGAAGTGTTTTGGTGAGAATTCAGCTTTTGTTTAAGAAATTAGTTTCATAGTTATATAAAAAGACATCAAAACCCCATACCCACATTCCCTTTCATACTTCAAAAGCCAAAGGCAAAATGAAAACAATGGATTTTTCAGTAAGCCAAATGTCCTAATTTTCACATCATTACCACAGTTCCCAAATGGTTTAGCTCTGCATGAGCTGCTGACCTCAGAGCAAAACTACATGCTGCATGTGTGTGACTGGTCTAGGAAAGCCATCCCAGGGCCAGGTCACAAAAAATCCTAAACATAATTAGATAAACAACTGGAGATTTGAAAGGATGGGGGTTTGACATTCTCTTCACAGAAAACCAAGTTTGGGACCCACTTCCACTGAGTGAGAGATGGAGCATGGCTGACAGGAGAGGCTGGATCAACCTCACAGCCACGTTCCAGCAGCTGCTTTGGGCTCACCTGACCCAGAGGTTTGGCCTCTTGGGCTGAGCATGCAGCTCACAGAGGACAGGCTGGGCTCCTCACTGCAACTCTGAGCTGGAAACAGCCACAACTTCCTCTGTTTGAGGAGAATACTTTCTGGCTGCAACTATCTGAAGGAGCAGGACAAGGACCACACAGCCTTCTGGATGGTTCTTCCATGCAAACATCCTGCTAATTTTACTACCAGCACTGCTGGATGTGTCACTTGACTTGAGAGATAAAAAGACACAGACATTTTTTCCTTTTTTTCATTTCTTTTGTATTTCCCTCCCCCGTTTCCTATTTTTCTGGGATATGGAAACTGCTCTCAACATTGTCCCAAAAAAAAAAAAAAAATTATGCTGAATAAGATTTCAGAAGTGATATATATATTTCAGGATATTTTGTTTGCCTTCTGATTCATAGGGGTTGGTAACATGATTTTTAAACAAAAGCTGAGGTTGTCATGGTATTTTTATACCAACGATTCCATATTATGTGAAAAGGAGGAAAAAAGGCAACAAACACCAAGAAACAAGAGATGACAAAATATCATGTTATGTATGGGAAAGAGTGCATATTGCATTTTCTCACGCCTAAAGCTGCTCACCAAATTCCCTCCAGTTCCTGCTGACCAAGACTCCTTAAAACTGCTTCTCATCAGGCAGTTTCTGACATCTTAATTTCAGTATCTCCACCATACCTATTTTTAAACATGTCCTACACCAAGTGAAGTGAAGGTACTTTTTGGGCACATTTACCACATTCATGGCAGATTTTCATAAGAACATTTTGTTATCAGAAGGGGTGTAGCAGTTCCACTCCTACTGATACGGCTGTTGCACATATTGTGAGTGCAAAGTAATATGAAATACATCATGGCTTTGGAAGATAATTTTGCCTTATTCTTTATTCATTCATGAAGGATATGACATTTTTAAAAATATGATTCACTACTTAATTTACCAAAAAAAAAAAAATATTAGTAGAATGTTTGTATGAAAGAACTATCCAGAAATCTGTCTGGTCTTTGTCCTGCTCCTTCAGATAGTTGCACCCAGAAAATGTTCTCCTTAAACAAAAAAAAAATTCTGGCTGTTTCCAGCTCAGACAGGGTTGTAGTTGAGGAAGACTGCTTTGGCAGACTTACCATAACAAGGCTCAATCATTCTAAGCCATGGACACCTGCTGCTGTTTGTCTCTCCATCCCCACCTTCCCACCCTGCTGCAGCTCTGTCCATCCCCCAGGGCAGCTGAGTGGGTGCAGAAAGCCCAGCTCAGCCCCTGGCCAGCACAAAGGCTCAGGGAAGCACCTGCCATCACCCCAAGCACAGCTCTGCAGAGATGCTGCAACGTTGGGTTTCTTGTCCACTACCAGTGTGAGGGATGCCAGGCTGTGTTGGGATTTCTTCATGTACAGACAACAGGGAAAGGTGACCCAAGGGACAGGGGTGGAAACTGAGATCCTGCTGAAGGGTGGGCATTTGCATCTGCTCTTTGCTGCCAAAAATAGCAGCAAACCTGAGCTAAAGTGAGCAAGGGTAGTGAGCAGGAGGAGATGGCATGGAAGGAGCCAGCAGACCCATTTAGGGGTTATTCTGTCTTTGGGCATTTGTTCAGTACTGGAGTGGCCAGAAAGGAATATGATTCCATCCCAAAGAGGCAATGGAAACCTACAGCTCTATCTTGGTAAAAAACAGTATGTCTGAACTTCAGCATGCTCCCCACAATCCCACCAGCTCCTCCCAGCAGTGCAGTGTTTTCAGGCACGTTGATCTGTGAAAATGCAGGTACACAGGTAGGTATGCTGGCAGGTAGCAGATCATTTTTAAGGGGCTTTTATCACTTAAGGTCTTTCTCCATATACAAGAGTACAGCTGTTAAAACTGCAGCACACAGCAATATCAGGAGTCATAAGGCTTCCCCTGCAGACCCTTCCCCTCCTCAGGCCTCCTTTGGGACTCCCCAGTGCCTTCCTGTCCTTCTGGTGCTGTGGTGCCCCAAACTGCCCCGGCACTGAAGGTGAGACCCCAGCCCAGAGCAGAGCAGAGCAGTGCCCTCCTGGCCTGGCAGTGCCCCAGGACAGGGATGTCCCTCCTGGCCTGGCAGTGCCCCAGGACAGGGATGTCCCTCCTGGCCTGGCAGTGCCCCAGGACAGGGATGTCCCTCCTGGCCTGGCAGTGCCCAGGACAGGGATGTCCCTCCTGGCCCGGCAGTGCCCCAGGACAGGGATGTCCCTCCTGGCCTGGCAGTGCCCCAGGACAGGGATGTCCCTCCTGGCTGCCAGGGCACTGCTGGCCCAGCTCCAGCTGCCCACGGAGCAGAGCCCCAGGGCCCTTCCTGCAGCTGCCCTCAGCCTCTCCCTGCCCAGAGCACCCCCAGCCAGGGCTGCCCGGCCCAGGGCAGAGCCCGGCCCTGCCTGAGCTCAGCTTCCTTGGCTGAGACTGCCCTTCCTCCATGTGCCCGGCACATCTGCAGGGCCTCTGCCCTCACAGGAGGCAGCAGCTCCTCCTCATTCAGTGCCATCAGCAGCTCCCTGAGCTTCCTTTGGGTCCTGGGTCCAGATCATGAATGAAGATGATGAGCACAGGGCTGAGGATGGAGCCCTGCAGGACCCCAGTGGTGACAGGCCCCATCTGATGTCACCCAGCCACTGTCACCCTTTGTGCCCAGCTGTGACCCAGCTGCTCACCCATCATGTAACACATGCTGGCCCCACATGAAAAAAGAGCACCTGGTGGTTTCCAGCACTCCTTTTCTATACCCAGCACTGCTTCAACTCACATCATCTCAATTGTCTCATTCTGTCCAATATTTTAGCCATGCCACATTATAACTTTAAATTTTATGGCTGATCACTAAACAACACAGGTGTTGCAAGTACAAAATGCTTATGGGTTTTTAATACTTCAGACTTTGAGATTACTTTTTCAAGCACAATCTTAAATCCATCCTTGGTGGCAAGCACACCTTTTGGGCCTATCATTATAGATAATGCTACTTTTTTATTTTTTGACCTCCCAAACTCCCTGAAAATTTGCCTTAACTTGTACAAATTCCTCTTAGGAGTGGATGAAAAATCTTTATTACAAAGTCACTTCTAACTCCTTTCAGTAATATGCTTAGGCATGGCAGGTGAGAGCAGACACTTCTGCAGGCTGAGGAAGTTCATGCCAGAAAACTCGTGGATCCTCAGCTGAGACCAGCAGAGCTGAGCACACTTTTACCATCTTTGATTGCTGATAAATGGCAACACTTCTGCCAGGGCATAATCAGAAACAGTGCAGTCATGCAAAATCTGAAAGAGGGGCACAGGTGTGGCACTGCTGAGTTTTTTGTTTGAGTGGGGGCTATGAGCTTGTTTACCTTGTTTTGAATAAATAAAAGCCAACTATTTTTTTTCTTTTACCTGACTGCTAACGTGTTGTCCTTTCCAGGTAACATCATTGGCTCTGGGATCTTTATTTCCCCAAAAGGAGTTTTGGAGCACGCCGGCTCGGTGGGACTGGCTCTCATTATTTGGGTGCTTGGTGGCGGTGTGGCCGCCCTGGGCTCGCTGTGCTACGCTGAACTGGGAGTCACCATCCCCAAATCAGGAGGGGATTATTCCTATGTCACTGAGATTTTTGGTGGGTTAGCTGGGTAAGTACCCTATCTCTATAAACTCATTTGAAAGCACATTTATGTTGTGTATTTGATGTGAGAAAGCCATCTGACTTGGAAGAGACAACATTTGTCAATAAAAACGCTTCAGCAAAATCAATCTTTCTGTTCTCTGTTAGAAATACCAAATTGTCCCTACACAGACCTCCCAGTGCTGTTTTCTAAGGAAGAGTGACAGATCCTTTCACTTCCCTCACTGCCTCGAAGTCCATGACAGAAAAGAGTGATGCTGTGTCCAAGTGATCTTCCTGTGTGGAAGTCATGAATGGTCAGTGCCTTGTGTTGAAGAGCTTTACCCATCAGGGAGGCCAGGCTGGAGCTGCTTACCAAAATAAAGCAAAGCTGCTTGACCTACTGTACAGAATCACCAAGTGCTGTAAACACAGAGAAGGGGGAATGCTAACTCAGGGAAGGATTTCTCTTTGAAAATAATACTAGTGGAGTGTGGCTAAGTGGGGAAGGGACAAGTGAGAGGAGGTTATGTTTTTTATTTGAGTGTACACTTTCTCATGTATTCTATACAATAAATTAAGCTGCCAGCCTGTACTCATAGACTACTAGAGAAGCACCAGCATGTTCTGACCAGCTCTCTCATTGTGAGTAGAGAGGCCATACCACATGCTGGTGGTTTAGGTAAGAAAAATAAGCACCAGTACAGAAAACTGGAGAAAGAGTAAGGAAAGCCCCCACCAAACCAGAGTATTCCTTCTCATGTGAGATGGAAAACGAGCTTGTAAAAGCTGAGCTGGCTGCTGAGCAAGGCCAAATCAGAACAGGCACACCAGAGGTAGTCTGTCCCCTGTCCCAAAGGCTGTCCTCTCGTGCCTGCCTCAGCTCAGTGCCACAGTGCTCCAGGCATGCCTGCTCACAAGGTACATTTCTGATGCTTCTCAAACTTCAGCCATTGCCCTCTGCTGGTTCATGAAGTCTGTGTTTCTTTAGTTGATGGAATCTCTCCTCTGACTGCTGTCCTGCTTTGCACAAAAACTCACACTGGCATCACAGAACAGATGGAGGCAACAACAGCATTGGCTTGGCTAACCAAATCCCAGCTCCACTGAGGTTTGCTCTCTGATGGGGGCAGGAGCTGCCCAGCAGAGCTCCTGCCTCTCTGGGACACTGCAGCAGGCACTGCAGCTTCCCTGCTGCCTGCTGGCAGGAACAGTGCTGCAAGCAGGCACAAGGGAGCTGAGAGTGTAGAACCCCAAAAATTGTCACAAGTCCCGTCCCTGGGACATCACTGTGAAGGAGCCCAGCAACGTGACAGTGCCACAAAACCAAAGGAATTGTGCTTTCTAGGGGAGAAAATAAAACTACTTAAAATCAAGTACCACTAACATTTAATTTAATTTATTTTAATTAATTTAAATTGTTTCTAGCTCCCTCTGCTACATTCAGAGAAGTTGCCTGGTCCCTGCAAACACCAAGCTGTGCAGCTGCTGTAACAAACAACACACCAGCTGATTGATCACTCCCCAGCATGGGGACAGTCTCACCTCCCAAGGCAGGAAATTCTGCTTGGGCAGCACTTACTTGGTGTCCAGGCTTGTAATGCACAAGCAATATCAAAAAAGCACAACCTGTCACCTGAAGGGAAGCAGTGCTCCCATCCTCCCTGTGTAGAGATGTTAGCTCTTCTCTCAAGAAAATAAATAGTCCCACTATTATGACAAAGGGTTGTATTAGGCAAAAGCCATCAGGTAGGTTGGGGGGGACTTGGGTCTTTTTTTCTGGTAAAACCAAGCTGGGATTGTGCCCTGCTGCACTTTGCTGAGCCACCACATAAAGGCTGCAGCCTTGGGGAGCTCTGACAAACATCTCCAGCTTCCCACCTGGGGAGCTTAAAGGGGCCTGCACTGTTCCTCCCTGGGATAAAAACCACTGCTGCTCTCTTTTGATTTAATCCTTCTGCAGCTGAGTACATCAAACTCAGCACACAAAGTTTTGTGCACCTGCCTTTCCCAGTGACCAGTTGGATGTTTTGGTCTATTCATAAAAAGGAGTTTGTTGTAAGAGGACATGCTGTACCCACCCAGACCACAACAACTCCACTTCTGTTGTCCCTGTCTCCCCAAATCCTCTCATTTATTATGTTTCCCTGCATGGAAAGGCACAAATAAATACTATTTGGTTGTGAAGCGTTACATGCCCCAGCTTCTGTGTCTGGCAGTATTAACAGCTGCATAACTTTTTATTTAAAAAGCCACATTGCCAGGTGTGATGTAAGGAGGTGAATGGCATGGCAGAGGCAGGCAGGGCCATCTCCTGAGCTGGCAGCAGCTGTGGCTGCAGGGCAGCAGCCCTGTCTCAGCATGAAACACTGCTGAAATGGTGGTGATGGCAAACCTTGGCTGGAATCAAGCCTGAGCAGAGACACTCCCCAACTCCTCTGGCCAAGGGAGCAGGAAGAGGTGAGGAAGGGTTCCAGTATTACCAGGCTTGCTCTGGTACCAGAGAAAGACTCCTGCTTTCCTGTTTATGTAGGAATCATTTTGGTTTTAAAGAGCATTTGTGTGTGAGCAGACACAAACTCTAGGGGATGTGTCACAGCCTGTGCTGCAGGAGCCCTCTGAGCACAGCTCTCCTCACATGCCTGTGGGCCTGCAAGGCTGAGTCATAAAAACATTACCCCAAATGATAAATAAAGGCCTTAATAGGTATTCTTGCGAAGACAATGAATAAATTCAGCTTCATGAACAGCCCTCCAGTGAGTTTCTGATCAATACAAGTGCTCCTGAAAGCTCAGCAGTGATGCTGCAGCTAGCACAGCCTCTTCACCAGCTGAGCCTGCTGGCTGGCCATACATCCTTATCAAAATCAGTCCGTGCAGAGTTTCCAGCCAAAGCTTTGAGAAGTGTCACTCTAAACTGCAACTATAACATGCTTCAAATATACTTCCACAAATATATGTTTCTTTTTCGTTATCATGAACTTTTGAGTTTTCCAAAGGCAGCAAGTCTTTCAGCAATGTAGGATTAATAGTATTCAGACTGGCTCCAGCTTAAACCAGTTCAGTTTTTCCTGAACTGTACTAAGGTGAGTTGTAGCAGGGCTGTTTCAAACTGTTTTCTTTTGCCAGTGGTGCACAAGTAGGGTACACTGGAATTTTATATTTTCACAGGCTGTTTTGAACCCATAACACATCTAATTAGAGATCCTTGAGGAAGTATAGGCACATCCCAAATAGATATTTGAGAACCAATTTCACTAAGTCCACTAGACTATTTAGGACCCAGATGAAACCATGTTGTTTATTTCTTTCCACAGGTGAGGAAATTAGCATGCAAAAAAATTCAGTTTTGGTCCAGGGATGACTGGCATTTCACATGAATGCCACACCTTCCCAGGAGTAGCAGATGGCACCACTAACCCCGGGCTGTTTCTAAGACAGGGGGATGGGCTCTGAGTAGAGTTATCTCATTCGTATACACACTGATGGGACTGTGTGCCATTAACTGCAGTGAGCTTTAGATCAGGCTCAACAACCAAACACAGCAGAGGCCATCCAGCCAGTGGCTAGAATACAGGCAGAGAGGTTATTTTACCAGCTCCTTCACCACCAGCACGTGCAGCAGGTCAGATTCCTCATGCAAACTGCAATGTTAAGGGAAAAAAAAACCCAAAAAACAACAACAACAACAAAAAAAAAAAAACCCCAAACAAAACCGACCAAATCCAACCAAAATCAAACAGTTACATCTTCCTTTTAATTTACATTAGTTGTCTCAAACCTGTTATAAATATCTTATCACTTCTCAACCAGCAACAAGAGAAGATTTAACTTCTCTTATTTCTGTGATCACAGCTACTGAGTGACTGTGAAAGGATGTAGGGTGGAGCTCCATCTCCAGTGCTGTAGCTCAGCCCTTCAGGGCAATAATTCTGCCACTTTCCATCTGAAGAACAAAGTAATTCCAGGTGTGCCATGCTGTGTCATCTCCCACATAATCTCTCCACGAGCCATTTCCCCAGGAGCAGCCATCCCCAGCCAGCTCCAGGTCCTCATCCTGCCCTGGCAGCTGCTGGCACTGGGAGGACATGGCATGTGCCAGCGTTGTCCCCTGGCCCTCACAGCTGGTTGTTTAGGGATGTTGTCATGGTTTGACACTGGCACAATGCCAGCAGTCTTATGAAAATGCGACTTTTTAATTGAATGCTGTGAAATGTGATTAAGAACAGAGTAAAGCAGGCCTAAGCTTAATAACAAGGGAAAAAATTTATTAAGCTACTACTACTATATTACTATAAAAGAAAAAAAGAAAGAAAAATTAAAACCTTTTAAAACATTCCTCCTCCCACCACCTAACTCTAACAAACTACAGTGAAACACAACTTGGACTCTAATCAGGTTCCTACCCTCCAGATAATCCTGACCCCTGACTGAATTAACCTCTTCCTTCCGAGAAAATTCTTTTTCTGTGTCAAACCACAACACATGTGAATGTGATCTCAGCAACCAGCATGGAGATCTTTTTCTCAGAAACAGGTTTTGATTAAAACTTACCTGGAGAAACACCATAAAAGTGGGCCTACACCTTAGACAAATTTCCTTCTTGTTTTGCTGCCATCTCTCTTTTGAGCTTCACATTTGACAGTGCAATTTTGTCCTCCCCCACTAAAATGATACATTTGCTTTAACTTGTGTTACCAATCCTGCACGTCAGTTCCATGACTGTCATTAATCCATTCCCATTAAACCATGTTCTACCCAATACCAGCTACACCACACTCCATATTACAGAAGAGAAACAAGGGCAAATTTAGCCTGAAATCATCTTTTCAGAGTCACTCTCCTCACCAAATTCTCCCCACAATTCTCAGCCTATGTAATTTGTATGGGTGAAGATAAACTTGACAGGGAAAAACTGCTGGTGGCTTCTGCAAAGGCCCTGCCAGTCAACAGCCACACAAAACAGCCTAACCTAAGGCAGCACCATCAGCATCCTAACCACATTCAGCAAATTGTTATTGTAGTCTTTAGGTTCTATTTATTCTTCAGTGTGGACCAGCTGAGTTAACTCAGCAAGCAGGATCTGCAGAGCTGTCCCAAGCTAGGTCCATCATCAACAACACCAAATAGCACAAAGCAATCGCTGGAGAAAGCTGCTCTGAACCACAATGAAAAACATTAGAAACTGGTGGGGGGGTGGGGGGGAACCACTCCCAAAATGGAGTCACACAACAAAATAAAGACAAATAAAAAACCTGCTGAGTTTATTGTAAAAAACTACAGTGGCAGTTGGGAAGGTACCCAGCTCTTACATTGGTCTGGTTTACCAAATTAACTGTGGCAGCTAATTAATTGCCCCATACTTCTCAGGAACAAGAAGGCAAAGTGAAGGATGTTACTGAGAAACATTTTCCACCTCAGCTGAGGAGAAGCCAGCAAGCAGCACTCCCTCCAGGTTAATGACACAAAAGAGAAGCTCCCTCAGCTGTGCCAGATTTACAGGGCTGGAAGCAGGGAGCACACTGGGTGGGTGCAGCCCCTTAAAGAGCAACCTGTGTAATATAGAAATTATACTGTCTTATTTGGAAATATCATTTCAAATCCTCATTTATGTCACACATCCTTGCAGACTATATTTGTGCATGTATGTGAATGAATGACTGTGTGTCTGTGTGTGCCTATAGATGGCAAGAAACCTTCACTTTCTTGCAATGACTACTTCTCACTATAGAAATAATACTTCAAATATTTTTTTAAATACTAGCTTGATCCACTGCTGCCTTTTAAACTTTTTTTTCCCTTTGCACAGAATGAAAAATGAAAATATCTCACCCTTTATATTTGCACAATACCTTGTTGGGTGCAGTCACCTGAAGCCACAGCTGGAGCAGGCAGCCAGCCCAGCTGTGTGATCCATCACAAAACACTGCAGCACTAATCTGCCCTGGCCTGGGTCAGAGAGCCAACACCAGTGGGGACAAGAAACCCCCCCAGTGACCAGCAGGGAGCTGGTAGCAGTCCCAAAAGTAGAGCTGCAGCCAAAACCCTTTAGAGGTGCCTTCAATGGCTACTATCTGCTGTGGTGACATGTCAGTGCAGGAGCAGCAGAGCTCCCTTCATCTAGACACAGAGTTAAATCAAACCATGCCTGATGGCCATAATCCTCACTCTCCCCCACATTCCTAAGCCATGTTTCAAAGCCAGGGACCTCATAAATCGGGAGAGCTGGACAGGACAGAACGCACATCCAGCCAATATGGTTAATGCAACGTTCTCCCTTTATTGGAGAGAAGATGGCAGTTTATATACACTTCCATATAGTTTACAGTTTACAAAGGCACTCTGATTGGCAAGTTAACATTGTTTATCTTTGTCTTAAGGTGGTCTAAACCTCACACTATAAACCTATACTACTTCACACGCAGACAGCCCAGTGCTCCCCATCACACCTTAATACAATTTCTAACTGCACGACAAGCTCTTAATTTCTAACTGCGTCAGAGGCTGGAAGGCCTCGCAAGGCCCAAATCTGAGGCCTAGACTGGAGTAGCTCAAATCTCATTCCAGACATCAATCATGCCCTCTCTCTCTCAGAAATGCTGGAACAGTGTTTTGCCTTACAAAGTTTAATTTAAAATAGAGATTGTGCTGAGAAGGCGGGGAAGGGCTGAGGAGGGTGACACTGGTGTGTGTGAGCAGCATGAAGGTGCTCAGCCCTGACACGCTGCACACAGCTGAGGTGTGTAACCTCCTCCAGCACAGCCCCAGCCCTGCTCTCTTCTGCTTCTCCTTGTCTTTCCAGGTTTCTGCTGCTGTGGAGCGCAGTGCTTATCATGTACCCAACTAGTCTGGCTGTCATTGCACTGACCTTCTCAAACTATGTCCTGCAGCCTGTCTTCCCTAACTGTATTCCCCCCTATAATGCCTCCAGGATCCTCTCCATGGTGTGTTTACGTAAGTATTTGCTTCTTGCACACACACAGATCTTGCCCTGGTTTACAAGGGACCAAGTGAGGGGTCACTGCAGCCAGGCTGGGGTCAGGGCCCCAGCTCCAAAGGCCAGTGGGGAGGTCCCAGGAGTGGCACTGTGACTGGTGTGGGCTATTCTGTCCCTTTCCTCTTGCCTGCAGCAATGCAGTGGCCTGGAGGGAGGCACACAGGCACCCGAGTCCCTGTGGGATCAGGGAAAGTGGTGGCAGGTGAGCCTGTGGGATGGGGCAGCTGCAGAAGCGTGGGCACCTGGCACAGGTGACCACCACCCTTTGAGCCCTTCCCCTTCTTCTCGTCTCTCACATTCACAAACGTGAGTGTGCAGAAGGCAGCGTGCTCTGCATTAGCTGCTTCTGGAGCTGGCAGAAGCAAACCTGAGCTGCAGGAATGAAGACTTTCACAGTTTCTGTGAGGAGACAATGATCCTTGCACGCTGGGCACTGCCCAGGCAGTTCAGAGCCCCAGCTGGCAGCACCCAGGGGGCTGGTGGCTTCCAGGGATGCCCCTGCAGCTGGAACCTCCTTGGGAAAGGCAGTGCTCCTCCTCACCCTCATCACTGGCCACACTAGAGCTCCCTGCAGGAACATGAGTGTGGTTTTTCAATGTTTTGGCTGTATGTTCTTAAATAAACATAATTTCATTTCACTGAATTCAGTCTTTTGCTCTCCAGTCCTGCTGACGTGGGTGAACAGCTCCAGCGTGCGATGGGCAACGCGCATTCAGGACATATTTACAGCAGGAAAACTCTTAGCCCTGACCCTTATCATTATTGTGGGCTTCATACAGATCTTTAAAGGTACTCTGTGAGACAGCTCTAACATTGGTATGGTACTGTTGATAGACTTGATTTTTCCCACTTACTGCAATGTTTCCTCCTTACGAACTGACCAGAAGCTGTGCTGGGTTTTGCCAAGCTGTGGGATTGCATTCTGACACAGCTGTGGAAGTATGACACAAGGGAGAAATCAGCTGTATCCCCTTAAAAAAAGTCTCTTTCCCGCCCGCCTTGTAGGATTTGATAGAATAAAGGAGAGTAGCTCACAATGTTTCAAATAGTTACTTAAAATTTTTAATCTGTTGTGCATTCCTTGAATTTGAAGTGTTCTGGATGTAAAATGAATAAATAATTCTTTGACTAGGGAAGGAAGATACATGCTTCATTTCAGGCACTAGTGCAGAAATTTCCTACAAAATTCCTACAAGTCCAATTTCATACAAAAAGTCACCTATAAGTTTAAAAATAGGTGAAAAATGTCTCACTGGTTCACCAAGTTATTTGAAGGGCTAAGAGCCTTCCAATAACTTGGTGAACCAGTGAGACATTTTTCACCTATGTTTAAAAGACTTACAATATTTTTATCACGTATATGATGAGTCATATAAACAAAGAAGAAATATGATATTTACAGAGAGCAGAAAACTGGTTTTCTCAGTGATGCTAGTCCTACAGTCTTGACAAATCTTTCAGGCCCATAGACATTTTATTTTCATGGATATCTATTAAACAACACCAAACTCTTGTAGAAGAGAATGGCATTAAGAGCAGCTAGGAATTTGCCCTGTCAAGGATCCCCCTCAGCCGGTGCAGGTTGACACGGGGTCTCATGAGTTCTGGTGAAGGGTGCCAGGAGAGCAGGAGCCCTCACCAGGACACTGTCCTGCACAAAGCACTGCAATGCTGTGTCAGCCCATGGTGACATGAACAGCATGAAGTCTCAGTTCTAACAAAGAGCAAAAGCTCTTTATATAATAAAGAATAAAGAATAATAGAGAATAAAGAATAAAAAAGCAAAAGCTTACCTATTTTAAAGTGTGTGAGGGAGGCAGGCATGGCCTAACATCTGGCTTGCGCTCTCTATGCAGGAAACTACAAAGAGCTGACACCAAGCAATGCATTCAGATTTTGGATGACTCCATCCGTGGGGCATTTAGCATTAGCTTTCCTTCAAGGGTCCTTTGCATTCAGTGGCTGGAACTTCTTGAACTATGTAACAGAGGAGCTGGTGGATCCCCGCAGGCAAGTATCCACTTCCAGGATGCTCTCCTTGAAGTGCTGAGACACTGGAGCTGCCTGGTGGTATAACTCATTTCATAAGAGGTGCAATGGCATTCCATGTCTGTGGGACTGTTCTTCCTAAAGGAGAGTTAGGTTTAGAACAGATAGCAGGCAAGTTACAGAAACACTGAAATTAGGCATTAACTGGATCAAAGCAGCCTATAGACAAGGCAGGATCTTTATGTCACTATTCAATCATATTTAACCTTCCACAGCAGAATATTAACTGTGGATGAGATACCACACAAGTATCTACAGGAAGAATCCTCTTTGTCATAAAATAGTTGAATTATCTTGGAAGCTGCTTTGCTTTTTCACCCAAAGCTCTCCCACAGACACCTGAAAGGGACAATTAGTGCAGTGGAAGTGGCACTCTCAGCCCCAGCAGAGCTGTGGGCACCAGCCTGCCAAGGCAACTTACCCTGGGTCACTGCTGATCCTGGCTATGGGAAGGGCTTGGAAAGGATTTATCACAAGCAGGCTGAGAGGGCTGGAGGGAAAGGGAATTTTAGTCCAGCAAAGCTCAAATGTTTCAACATTTCTGAGCTAATGAAGTGGAATGGCAAATGTCAAGAGCAGCTCTTGGAGCATTAGTTACTTCTGGGCATCCAGTGCACGCTGCAAGGAAACAGGAAGAAATGTGAGCTATTAGAGCTTGGATGGGAATTAATTAAAGCTACTGTCTTATGAGCATCTCTGCACACCAGTGAGGGGCAAAGTGTGTGTCCAGAGATCTTGGCAGGAATAAAGAAAATGTGGTAATGTGCTTCCTTATTAAACAAAAATATTTTAATGGACCACCATGACTTCAAAGCTCAATAGTAAAAAATGTATTACTTAAATAAAGTAAATATGGCCTTAGTTGAGAAATAAAGAGAGAATGGAGCAAATGGCCTTTCCCTTTTTTTTAATTATTGTTGCAGCCTTAGTGGAGAAATTAAAGTATTTTAAAAATTGGATAACCAAAACCACTTCCTACTTTTACTAAATCTATTAAAATTCACAAGGTTAAACATGCTTTCTAAAACCTTTTTTCCCAAGTCTGACACACAGAGAAAAATGCATTATGTTAGATACAGAACAGTTCAAGCGTCCACCTCTAGGAAGGTCTCTGGGTTGGAGATCAAGTTCATCTCTACTACTGTAAACTGTATGACCAGACCAGGTTTGGGGTACACAACAGGCCAGGGCAGCAGGTGAACAACAGGATCCCCTTCCTTTTCAGAGCAGGTGAAGGTAAAGCAAAGCAAGACATTTTATTCCACCACCATTGCCTGTACCCAGGGCTTTTGGGAAATGGATGTTTCACTTTTCAGTAACAGTCTGTCCCAATCCCAATCAAGACCCCAAAGGGAACTCATGTTTTCTGTGTCCCCTGGAGCTCCCTGCAGACACAACATTCCATTTTAGCCTTCTCTAAGCTGCAGTGGGTCAGAGAGCTGCTGGAAGCTCTGCTTCCCTCCAGAGAACAGCCAAGGAACCCACCCAGCTGAGTGCCCACCCCCGGGCCCTACACAGTTGTCGTGCTCTTGCTGTGCATGATTGTAATTTCTTATCTACCCTCCTAATTCTTTTATTAGGAACCTACCTCGTGCCATATTCATATCCATCCCATTGGTGACATTTGTGTATACGTTCACCAACATTGCATATTTCACTGCCATGTCTCCCCAAGAGCTCTTGTCCTCCAACGCTGTGGCTGTAGTAAGTAAAGCATTCCCTGCATGTACCAACACACTTTGATTTCAGTGCTGTGCTTTGCAGTGTATTTCAGTTTCTCTGCCTTCTGTTGCTTTAGACATTTGGTGAAAAGTTACTGGGCTATTTTTCCTGGGTTATGCCAGTCTCAGTGGCCCTATCTACATTTGGAGGAATAAATGGATACCTTTTTACCTCATCAAGGTTAGATGGAGTACAATTTTATGAACATTATCTAATTTGGGGAGGGGCTGTTTTAATTGCATTTGCTAGAGAAATGCTAGCTAGACATCTTGGATGTTTTTTGTTGGGTGTGTTGGATACAATCAGTTATGAATTATTCCATTTCAAATCAGCAAATGTAATATTGAATCATGAAATGTCTTGCAAATTAATCCTCGTGAGTTATTGAAAGTGTTTGCAGATATGGAATAATTCACAGTAAAAGCCAAACACAGCTTTAGAATGGAACCAAAATAATTTTATGTCACTAAAGTTCCAGTAGCTCACAGCTAAACTATGCTTTGCTCAAGGAGGAGTTTTAGGGCCTTGTGCAGTACTCAGTTACAGGCAATTTGATGCTGGAAAATCACCTTTCAAGCAAGATGCTTTGCATGCATACTGCTGATAGCTGGCCCAGAATCTGTAAAGTCTGTAAGATTCTAATCAATAAAGTCTGTTTATAATAACTGACCTGTCTGAATTTAATTAAGAAATTATAAAATTTTTTGAGGAAACAGCTGAAGTACCATGGGAAAATTATTTATCCCAAACTTTTCATGGGTATGATGAAATGTAGCAAAACTGAGTGCATATGTAGCAGGCTATACACTTAAAAGTGAAAAGCTAAGGCATGTTAAACCTTATCCAAACCCCTTTTGCCGCTGTAAATACCCACACAACCTTCAGAGTATTCATCCCTCACTGGTAAAGAGACAATGCTGGCCAGCAGATAGCCCTTGGAGGTATTTTGGCATCTCAGAGCAGGTGTGTTCCCAGGTGACATTAGCTGTTCAAGGCCTTGTACACTGCAGGGTTTAGTTTAAATGCCTTTCCCCAGGGGACACAGTCACTAGCTGTCTCTGCAGCTGCAGCCACAGCTCCTTCCCATGAGAAGACCAGAGCAGGTGGTTGAGATAAGAGGTGTTACATGACTAGGGACTGGAGGCTGTTGCTCACCCAGTGGATTCATCATTACCCTTCTTATTTCCAGGTTGTGTTTCTCTGGTGCTCGGGAAGGCCACTTGCCAAGTTTGCTGGCCATGATCCACGTCAAGAACTGCACGCCCATCCCTGCCCTTCTCATCTGTGTAAGTGACTGTCCCTGCTTTTAGAAACACTAAATCACGGAGAGCTGAGCTAGAAAACCATTGAGAGGTGGTTTTACCCCAGAAGAGGAGCAGGGATGGCAGCTGGTAGGTGCCAGCCGAGCAGCTCTATCTGCCCCAGAGAGAAGCAGCCTTCAGCCTCAGAAATGATTCCTCCTCCTCCCAGTCCCCTTGGCACCTGAGGGGTTTCCCTCATAACCCGAGTTGTGGTGTAAGTCATTAACTCTTGTCCTGCAGCAAGAGACAGGGACTGGCTTTTGAAGCAGAGATATGTTGTTTAAGAAAAGACAAGTTCCTTAGACCTGCTTCCCACGAGCATTTGGAAACCTCCATGGAAACCTCACTAATCCCACTCCAGCAAGGCTGCTTTAGGCCCTGCCACCACGGCCAGAGATATGGTGGGTCCCAGGGAAAGGACAAAGTGAGCCTAAAATTACTTTCAACAACCAAGACACCTTGTGAGGAACAGCCAGGCAGTTCTCTGAGGCCCACAGGCCAAAAAATTAAGTAGGGACAGTGAAGCACATCAGGCAGGTCACCTGCAGAGCCCAGACAGAACGGGCCAGCTGTTGGGAGTGCTGGGGAACCAGTTCCTGCTGTGATCCCACGGGAAAAAGATTCCCCTCACTTTTTAGACAGTATCAATTTCCACACCACTAATGACTTAGGGAAGTTATTATTTGAAGCAAAGAGCTTTGTATGCTTTTATTGATAGTGCAGCTGGAATGTGTGAAGGGTTTTACAGTGGCATAGAGGATGACAAGGAGGAAAATGATTCGTGCTGCTGCTGTCCATGGCCACAGGGCCCAAGGGAAGGAATTCCCCAAAGGGCATTTGCTTGAGATCTTGGCTGCATCAATGGCTGCCAACTGCAGATTTGCCACTGATATCAAAACTCGAGGGTTTGACCCCAGATGCACTAGAAAGGTGCATGTTTACATGTCTCCTGGCTCTAACAGCATTTCTGGCACAATACACCCATATAAAATTTCACCAAGTAAGTTTTTTTTTTCACCATAAAAGCTCATTCTGCTTTTATGACAAAATATACATTTTGTTGAGGTTTTTGGCATTCCAGGGGCTTAGTGCCCCATCACAAACATCTTGTGTATTGCCCATTGAAGGTTTGGGGTAAACTACCCTGAGCAGTCACCATGGGATGGGATCCTGTGTTCTGCAGGGGTAGAACTCCTTTGTCCTTAACCATCCATCAGCTGAAAGAACAGCTGAGTGTCAGAGGCTCTGTGGAACAGCCCCAGCAAGAGCAGGCTGCCTGTCCAGCTGGCTGATCCATGCCATGCCATCATCCTTGAATCACAGTGCAAATCACAGAACCAGCATGGCATATTACATCATCATTGAAGGTGTTTTAATGCAGCTCAGTGCACATCAAGTGCTGCTAGGAAATAGTTGTTTCTTAACAAATAGAAAGATACTAATAGTATAGTGTAGGCAGCTACAGCAGGAAACAGGGCCACACTTCAGGCAAACCTAACTAATACATCAGGTTCCTTGTCTCTTCACACTTAGCTCTCTGCAAGGAGAGGAGTTTGTTTGTACATCAAGAATGGCTGTTGCAACATTACCAGTGAGAACTTCATTTTTACTCCCAAAAATCAAGGGGCCAAGCTAAATGTAAAATTTGGACTGCAGGTTTTTTGAAGGATGGTGGGGAGTGGCCATGGCTATCTGGAGGGCAGCACCCCCTCTTCAGCCCCCAGCCCCTGGGGGTGGCACCCACCCTGTGAGTGGATATGGATGTGTTATATGGCAGCAACACGAGATGCTGCCCAATTTTAAATCCATTTTGTGGTGGGACAGTTCAAAGTGTTGAAATCCCCTGCCAAGCCTGCAAGGCTTTGAATAAGGGAACAGAGGGACCAGCAGAGTGTTTGGCCATGGTGGTGCTTAATTCCTGGTGCTGGAGGTCCAGAAACCTTCCCTCCTGGGAGGAATTTACTATCAAAAGAGCTAATTAAGGAAAAAGGGACAGAAGCACAAAGGGACCCTGGATCAACACAACCCAAAATCTTGAGCAATCTCTGGAGGGATTTGGATATTTAGTTTCCCTCAGGCTCTGGGCTCCAGCAGACAGTGTTCGCTGGACTGGTGTTTGTGCAGATGAGTGCTCAGTCCCTGTGGTACCAAAGAGTGGGAGAGGGGCTTGAGGAGCAGTGCCCCAAGTCAGCTCTCCTGGGTCTACAGTATTGATGTCTTTATGCTGGTCCTAAAATCACAAGCTAACCACAGGTGCTAAGAAGGAGTTACCTTTATACGGGTCCTTAGGTGCACAACTCGCTTGGTGGAGAGCAATGAAGATGCACACGTAACATAAAGTGCAAACAATTTCTGTGTGTTCAGCAAATTTGCATAACTGACAAGAATCCCCAATTAGATGCATAAATGATGAGGTAATTCCCCCTCAATTCAACCCTTTCTGTATTCCCTCCCCCCCCACCCCACCCTCCAATTAGATAGGACTTAAACTTTATTAATGAAAATGTGTCTCGGAGAGCTAGTTTCAACCTTGGCTTCCCAGATAATCTAAACTTCCCAGATAATCTAATATATTACCCATGGGGGAATTTATTTGGTCTTTCTATCTATTAGAATAGGTAAAAAGCTAGCTATGAATACTATAATAGGCCACAGCACTACAAATGTATGTGCACAGAATAAAGAGAGAATATAAAAGTGAAAAATGTGAAAATCAATTCCCTATCAGTATTAGGCAGACACGGAGTTCCAAAAAGCAAACAAAAACATGGAAATGTCCACCATCCATCTGCCAGTTTCCAAACATTAGTAACGCTCATAAAATTCATTATGCTGATCAGCTGTGACATGAGGCAGCAGGAGGAAGGGCAAACCTCTAATTCTTTATAAAATACAGAGCACCTGCAACAACACAGTGCCTGAAACAAAACATGTTAAGTCTAAGAAACCCTTTCACCTGGAATCCTCACCACAGGGTTCAATAGCTTTTTTTAATTTTTATTTTTTTTTTTAATTTTTTTTATTTCACAGAGAAAGGTGGAGTGGGAGCTTTGCCAGCCTTCCCAGCCCTGCCTGCTTAGTCATGGGCAGCAGAGATACCTTTTCCAGCACCCCAGGGTATTTTTAAACCGACCCTGTAGTCTCTGCCTTCAGCATGCCCCAGATCACCCTAAATACCCATTTAGCCCCAGCCCTGGTGGCACAGCTCTGGAATAAGGCACAGATCCACAGGAAGCAGCACACCCAACAGGTGCCATAAACAAGGGGATTTTTAATACTTTAATGGGATTTGTGCTTGGTTTTGTTGGTTTAAAGCCACCTTTTCTAGTAATGGCTGAAGAAGGCTGTGCTCCTCTCTTTGCAGTGTTTGGCCACCCTTATCATCATGCTTGTTGGAGACACATACACACTGATCAACTACGTGTCCTTCATTAACTACCTCTGCTACGGAGTGACAATTATAGGCCTGATTGTTTTACGCTGGAAGAAACCCAAAATCTTCAGACCAATCAAGGTGACACTGCTAAAGCTAAATTTCTTGCAATAAGGTGGGGTGGGAACACCTCCCAGAGCATGTCCCACAGTGCCATTAGTGTAAAAGAAGGACACACAGGCAGATTCCTGTTGGGATGGGCAGAGAGGAGAGTGGTGGAGGGAAGGGGGACACTGGGGGACATCTGCAGTGCCTGCAGCCCACCACAGCCACTCACCTCTGTGAGTGTGCTCTGCTCTGCTCTCTCCTGCTAGGTGAACCTCCTCATCCCCATCACCTACCTGGCATTTTGGGCATTTCTGCTGGTCTTCAGCTTGTACTCGGAGCCGGTCGTCTGTGGGGTTGGACTAATTATCATTTTAACCGGAGTGCCAGTGTTTTTCCTTGGAGTCTACTGGAGAAATAAACCAAAGTGTGTAAATAGGCTAATAGGTAAGCCAGCACATGTGCCTCCCTGCCCTCCCTGCTTAAACTCTGACACACTGGCACCAGAACAGCCAGGAAGGTGCTGTAGGAGGCTGGCCACCACTCCCAGCCACGGGCAGCCCCTGGGCACACAGTGGCCAGGCACTGCTTTGCTTTGGGCAGATATTTTGCACACTCCTCTCACACCTCTGTGCCCATCCACTTGGCTTGCTGACAGCAGCCTGTCCCAGCAAATACACAGGGGGGACACTTTATACACACTGAGACTAAATGAGCAATCACAAACAGACTGAGGGGTTTGTGTGACCTTTGCCGTGCCTCCTTACACCGTGCACCAAGCCCTGTGTGACATGATGAGTTATCTCATACTCAAATGTTTAGCATAAAGACTTACATTACCCCTCATATAAAATTAAACAGCAAATAGTCTTCTATGATTTGGTTGTGCTTGATTTTTAATCACTTTGCTCCAAGGTGAGGATTTTCAAACAAGCACACTGCAGCCCTCTGCTCTCACTGGAGGGTTTTTGTCAGCTGCACTTGGCTCCTTGGCAGCAGCTCCCCAGGGCCTGTGGTCACTGCAGCTGGGCTGACACAGGGCCAGGAGGGCTGGCAGCCATCTCATCCCCATCCCAATCCCATCCCAATCCCATCCCAATCCCATCCCAATCCCATCCCCATCCCCATCCCCATCCCCATCCCCATCCCCATCCCATCCCATCCCATCCCATCCCATCCCATCCCATCCCATCCCATCCCATCCCATCCCATCCCATCCCATCCCATCCCATCCCATCCCATCCCATCCCATCCCATCCCATCCCATCCCATCCCATCCCCATCCCCATCCCAATCCCATCCCATCCCCATCCCCATCCCATCCCCATCCCCATCCCCATCCCCATCCCATCCCCATCCCCATCCCCATCCCCATCCCCATCCCCATCCCCATCCCCATCCCAATCCCATCAGCCTGCTATGGGCAGCACTAGCAACTCTGAAGGGCTGGGGAAAGGTGTCCCTAAATCTGTCCCACCTTTAGGTGTCCCCAAATCTGTCCCATCTCCATTTGCCCCTGCTCAGGAGCACTCTGCTGGCCGAGCTGGAGGCAGGAGGGTTGGAGGGGGCAGTCAGAGGGGCAGCAGGGCTGTGCCACCTCCTGCCCTCCTGGCATTGCTCCAGCACCACACATTTGTTAGCAGAGCTCAGTCCCCCCAGGAATCACCCACTAACACTGCTGATTTGCTCCTTGCAGAGTCCCTGACGTGCTGGGGGCAGAAGCTGTGTTTTGTGGTGTACCCTCAGTGTGGAAGTGCTGAGGAGGAGGCCCCCTCAGCCCACTCCTGGCAGCTGATGAGTGAGACAGCGCTGAGGAAATAACAACAGCGTGGCCTTTGAGGCTGAAGTGGCTTCTTGTTTACATGCTGATTTTTGAAAAAGTTTTTCTGGAAAAAAAAATTTGGTTTAGAGCACCAATAGTGAAGCTCATAAAATGAGCTACATCCTTTATGGTCTCTGTAGCTTTTAGTTATTCCCTAAAAAAAAAAAAAAAAAAAAAGGAAAAAAAAAAAAAGAAAATAAATACATTGTAAAATAAGGAGCTGGTTGGGTTTTTTGTTTGTTTGGTTGGGTTTTTTTGGTTTTTTTTTTTTTTCTTCCTGGCAGTGTCCTTGCTCAGCAGGGGAAAGCAGCACAACACAGCTCTGGAATACTGATTTTAGTCACCATGAGGGTCCACCAGAGACACACAGATTTAGTCATTTCAGAACTAGGGCAGTTCTCAACACAAAATCAAAGTACTGAAATCAAGAGAAAGCAAGGAGACCTCTTGCTGTCCCTGGGTAGGGTGAAGGCACACCCCAAAGCATCACCCCTCCACATACCTGGAGGAGCACAGCATCCCCAGCCCAGCTCTGCACCGAGCACAGGCCACAGAGTAAAAGCCACAGCACCAGCAACAACCTGAACCACTCCAGCACCATTCTGTGAGAGAGAAAAGGATACAGAAGTAGTGATCTAAATCTCTAGTATCTCAGCTTTGTAGTGATCTAAATTTCAAGTGTCTCAGTTTTCTAGTGATCTAAATATCAAGTATCTCAGTTTTGCAGTGACCTAAATCTCAAGTCTCTCGGTTTTGTAGAGATCTAAATCTCAGGTGTCTCAGTTTTGTAGAGATCTAAATTCCAAGTGTCTCAGTTTTGCAGTGATCTAAATCTCAAATATCTCAGTTTTTCAATGATCTAAATTTCAAGTATCTCCGTTTTGCAGTGATCTAAATCTCAAGTGTCTCAGTTTTGTAGAGATCTAAATTTCAAGTGTCTCAGTTTTGCAGTGATCTAAATCTCAAGTGTCTCAGTTTTGTAGAGATCTAAATTTCAAGTGTCTCAGTTTTGCAGTGATTTAAATCTCAAGTGTCTCAGTTTTGTAGAGATCTAAATCTCATTTCTAGTGATCTAAATTTCAAGTATCTCAGTTTTGTAGAGATCTAAATCTCAAGTGTCTCAGTTTTGCAGTGATCTAAATCCCATTTCTAGTGATCTAAATTTCAAGTGTCTCAGTTTTCTAGTGATCTAAATTTCAAGTGTCTCAGTTTTGTAGAGATCTAAATCTCATTTCTAGTGATCTAAATTTCAAGTGTCTCAGTTTTACAGTGATCTAAATCTCAAGTGTCTCAATTTTGCAGTGATCTAAATCTTAGGTGTCTCGGTTTTGTAGAGATCTAAATCTCATTTCTAGCGGTCAGAATCTCAGGTGGCTCAGTTCTGAAGCAGTGCTGCAGAGGTGCAGGGGTTCCTGCAGCAGGAACTCCTGCATGGGGCTCAGCTGGTGCAGGAGCAGCTGGGAGGATGCAGACACAGGAGTTTGCAGCAGGCTCACAGTGCAGCTCAGGAAACACAGGAAAGGACCCTGATGCTCCTCCTGTCTCTTGACGTGTCAGGTGGTGTCACATTGCTCCAGAGACCAGTTCCCCTTTTCAGCTGTGCTCAGCCAAGTAACCAGCCTAAACCACTCACACATCAGATGCTCCTTTTTTTCCTCGTGCATACACTAGGGAAAAAAAAAATCTTGTCCACGCACTTAATTAATATATAGAGATTTGCTGCTGTAGCAATATGGCCACTTTCACACCAGGGAATCTTCTGAAAATGAAAATTATGAGAACAGCTCTGAGCTACTATTCTTTCACAGTATTTGAAACTAAAACCTATCACATTCAGTAGCCTTGGTAACAGCCATCTGAATGTAATTTTTAAAGTATCTTTCCATGGCCCTGGCACAAAAATGATGGATTCATTATCTCAGTTAATTATTCAGAAATACTTGTGTAGTATAATAATAATATCTATATATTAAAATTCTATTAATCCCCATCTTTCAGATGATAGACACTGAAAGAAACACAGCTTACATTCTTTTTGTATAAAGCTGTAAACTGTAAGAGATTAAAATACATATTTAGCTAGGAAAAAAGGTGTGGTTTTGTGTGTCTATATGCACACATGTAAAGAAAGAGTCCACATTTTAAATAATAGAATGAATATACAGTTTGATAATGGAAATCATAAATATTCAGCTTGCTTTAAAAAAAAAATTCAGAGCAGACCTCCCTGTGGCTAAGCAGCACCTGAACCTTTGACTAATGTCAGAGGCTCTCATGATTAGGTCTCCTTTTCCATAGCTCAAAATCCACTTTCTGAGGTATAACTTCCAACAGATTAATTCTTTCAATACCTTTACTAGCTCATGGGAAAACTAAATGTATTACAGTATCAGAAATACTGTTTGCTTTCAGAACTGCTAAGTTTTGGCATGGCTTTATTTTTGTTTGTTTAAACAATTAAGGTATGGAAATCAGCCAGCAAGGAAACTGCAGCTCTTGAGACAAGTCTGTATGTTAATGAGAAAAGTAATAATAATAGTAAAGCACTAATGCTGCAACAGCTACCAAGGCTTTTCTTGGCTGTTATATGAGGAAATCAAAAGCAAAATAAAGAACAAATCCCTCAACAAATTGTTAATTGAGTTTGGCTCAAGTTTTCCCTGGTTATACTGACATGCTTTAGAAGTAACAACACTTGGCCTTAAATCAGGAGGCTTAATTTAGAACAGGATGATTTACTAGACCTCAAAATCCCCAAAAAGTGTTCCACGGTGTTTCATTTTTAGGAACAGCTTCATCTCTGCTCCCAGCATCACACACATTAAAGGCTTTGCAAAGGTTAGTGCCTAATGTATAGAATTTCTAACCATAGAAATCAATGTACAGAATTAGAAATAGAAATTCATATGCTAAATGAAATTTAGCAGCACATTCAATCCATATAGGAGAGATATTTCCTAAAGACAAAGCAGCTAGCCCCAAAGGAGACATTACTAGTATTTTAAAGCCCACTGAACAAAAAGCCTTGAAACAGCTGACACTGTCAGCATGTTGAGAGTACTGTGATACTTGCTACAGAAAGGCAAGCTGTTTCCAACAGAAAGGAGTTTAAATAAAGCTTGAACAGTAATGCAATACTATATAAGCCTATATATTATGTGTTATTATATTTATGTAGCATAAAATACTAGGGGCTGTAATGCAGAAAATACTCTGGGGAGAATCACCTGTAAGTCAGCCTAAGGCAAAGTCAGTAAAAAATAGATTGGATTATTCTTACCTGATTTATCACAGCATTGAAAACAGTGGCAATAGATATGTCATCAGTGTGCTGCATGCTTTGCAAGACAGAAGTGGAGAAGATAAAATTCCAGGAGCTGTTGGGTAGCACAGGGAGAATGAGGCAGAGCTACTTCTGCTGGCTTGGCCACCGTCAAGCATCTTCAAAAACTTGATAAAGGAACTTGTTGTCTTCCATTCACATTAGTACATAAACCAGAAAAGTTTGATCTCAGGAGGATCAAGGGATGAGACTCACAGAATCACAGAATATTCTGAGTTGGGACCCACCAGGAACAGCTTTGAAGAAACAGGCCCACATGGGGATTGACCCTCGCTGTTTGAGTTCAGAGCTGAAGGACAGACGAGTCCCTGAGCATTAAATAACACACCTGACCTGGGGCATCTTTACAAAACTCGTATCAGAAACATGCAGACAAGGTTCACTAGCCCCAGGACAGCCCATCAGCCCTGAAAGCACAAACCCTGATGAGCTGCCAGCCCCAGGACAGGACAGTGGCCCCAGGACAGGACAGTGGCCCCACGACAGGACAGTGGCCCCAGGGGAGGCACCTTTGCTGGAGAGGTGCTGTGGTGGGCTGGGGGACCCAGGACAGAGCCACTGCCACTGCCCAGCTCCAAACAACCTCATGCTGTGACAGAAACATGCTGAAGAGCTGAAGTTAAACAAAATAACTCATCTTCAAAGGAAAGGCAGCAAATGAACAACCAACCAGCCTCCAACAGGCATGCTGTCCCACACTTCGTATTTGGAGGCCTTTGTTCTAGGTATTTCTCATGTTTCACTTACTGTTAAACATTGGAAAAAAATAATTTGGTTTCCAGCCTCTTTGTACTAAGAACCAAATCTGAAATTGCCGCAGTTATTCACCTGCTGAGGAGTTCTATGAGAAAGAAAAATGAAGGGTAAACTTTGCTTAGAATTTGTCTTTTCCTAAAGCTTTAAAGTTCAGAGAGTTGTGTGCTGTCTCCACTTCCAGCTGTGAGTACAGGCAAACCAAACTCTGGTTTTTAAACCTCTTGTCTTTGGTCCTTGACACCTCTCACCAGTGCTCTACCTCCAGTGAGAAACTTCTGCACTTGGAAAATGGAAAAGGAAAATCCAAGATTAGAAAGTGAGTAAGAAGATGCTGAGAGGCCAAAACCAAATTTGCCTTGAAGTCCTACAGTAAGACACAGGGATAGAAAGGAGGGAGATCCAGAGGGCATCATAAAGCAGGGAACACATAGAATGAAAGGGAATAAAATGTAAACCTCAGCCTCACCTCAGCCTCAGTAACCATTTAACCCCTGCAGCCACGAACACAAGAGCCAGCAGCATCTGAAGAGGGAAGAAGAGCTCACTGGGCTGTTTGCTGGGGTGACAAAGGACAGGACACGAGGTGTGCTGCCTGCAAGGCTCAGCTTCAGCTATTTGTACTGGATTTAAACCCTAGCACCTGCCTGGGAGACTAAAACTCAACTTCCAACCAAGTCCAAAAATCTTTAATAAGCAAAATCAGTTTTTCCTCTCAGAGAAAGGTCTGATTGAAAAGTACCAAATTCCCTCCAGGCTTCTCAAGTGTGTGCCCCTTGGTTTGTCAAAATACCTGCTAACACTCAGGTACCATTTATGGCTCTGCTTCCATCTCATGGGTTATTCTCATTTCAGCCTCACATCAGGGTATGATGGTATGGCTTGAACTATTAATGCTTCTGCCACTGTAGCTGAATGAGCATTTCATGGCAAAACAAAACCAAAGCAAAGCAAAGTCCTGCTAGGCTGGGTCCTTCCCTCCTTCATGGCTACAGATAAATCTGGGATCATCATGAAGTCCGTCCAATTCTCTTCAGTACAGACAAAGACTTCCAAATCTGCAAAACACAGTCAACACAAAATAACTCAGCCTTCTCCTCCTTCTGAAACAAAGCAGGACAGAGCCACCAGTAGCTCAAAGATATGGGGAAAGAGAAGCATCAGCAAAACAAGCATTGGCCTCAAAAAAGGAGAGGTTGTGCTTCAGAAATAGTTTTTTTAAGCACTCTAACAGTCATACACCTCATGGCTTCTTTTGGTTTTAAGTTGGGATGTATGCATACATACATACCAAAGGTAGCTGTGTACAACAGTGAATTTCCTAGAACCAAGATTTCACATGCATTATTTAAAAAGTGATATCCCTTCGACCAGCTTCAGCTACAGAAAAAGCAGATGATAAAAAAACCCAGAAAAACAAAACCAAACCAAGCCAAACTATGCCCTCCCCCAGCAAATTCATGTCTACACATGGAGTCATGGGTTGACACGTAAGAGTCTGAGTCAAACTAAGATTGTGGGAGTAGAGTTTAGGAATCCTCAAGTTTAGGTGTTAAGAGTGACACTCAGAAACCCACTGGCTCTGGGCATGTCAAATTTTATTAAAAATGAAGAGGTCCAAAGCAAGGCAAAGCACAATGATGCCCAGCATCTTTCTTGCTTAGTATCTTGCTCAGTCCAGGAAGCAGCAGTAGACACTGACAAACATGATGCCACACCTGAATCATGTGCCTGCACACACTGTGGTAAAATGTTGTAACTAAAGTAATATCTACAACCCAAATTAAAAACAAACAAAAAAGCCAAAAAGCAGAGAACTGAAATAGAGAACAAGTGTGCTTAAGGGATGTTGCAGAGTAATACACAAGCTGACAGGTACCAGAATTTTTAACAGAAATATTCCCAGCTTTAGCAGCAGTAGAGAAAATATTAAGGGAATCACTCTTCCCCTTTATGCTCCCTTTATTCCCCTTTATGCATTCTTTTTAAACCAGTAGGTATTCTCTATTCAGAGGGGTTTTTTGGAAGGAGGGTTTTTTAGAAGGGTTGTTTGGTTTTTGGTTTGTTTTTTTTTTTTTTTTTTTGCTTGCTTGGACAGAGGAAGTTTTTATTTTGTATCAACCAAACAACTTGAACACTTCGTTTCCCGTCTACAAAAATCTTTAGAGAGTGCAGAAAAACATAAAACAAAAACTTTAACAAGTTTACTAGCTGATTAACTTAAGGTTGTATAGTCTTTAAAAGTGTTATATTCCCAGGTTTTATAATTTTAAGAAGTTCTGAAGACAAGGAGGCAGTTTATATGAACCAGAACTGAAGTGCCTTCAAGGATGGTTGATTCCCTGAAGGGCAGACACACACTAAGGCAGGCTTTGTGATTTATGCAGGTATTGGCACTGCAGTGCACCTCTCTGTGCTCACAGTGCAAACACAGAGATTTCTTCTCTAAAATTCACAGTGAATTTGTGGCTTCCAGAGGGTGAGCTAGGAGAAAAAACTGCCCTGCAGCACAGAGAAGTCAGTGCTTACAAAGAGCACCAGGCTTGCATTTCTCATCAATGCAAAACTGTACACAGTCCAGTAATGAGGGCTGTGAATACTTCTGCATGGTTCAACATCAAATTTTCACTAACCTGGACTTTTTTTTAAAGTTTTTAAAAGTAAAATCTCAGTAAAATTTCCACTGAGTAACCAAATTAATCAATACACAAAATATGTATGATACATGTATGAAATAATGTGAAGTTACACATCTTAGCTGTTCAAGGTTGCTCCTAAAATCTAGCAGTACTCTGAAGTACATATTTCAATTTTATGAGCCTTATGATGGTGATGGTTTAAGGCATGGCATGATCAGCATTATTTTATTATAGAAATATTTTTCTGTAACAGAAATAAATACACACATATTTCTAAGGTCCTTCATATCTACACAATATAAACTTTTAATTTTTATCCTAACTATACTAAACTACCTTACACATAAAATTACCCTCAGACAAAAAAAAAAAAAAAAAAAAAAAGACACTAAGACCTGTAGTCTTTGATGGAAACAACTACTCTGGCAGTGCAATGACTACAGTATATGGCCTTGCAAAAGTGGAACATACCCAAAATGTTTACAAATGCTAGGAAAGCAAAATCTCTTTCAAAACTACATTTTCTTTCATGAAATGAGTTCTGATCACAGAAGAACCTGGAAAAAAATTACTGAGAAGTATTTATTTAATGCAACTACAACTCTTGTTATGCATTTTGCCACAAGCCCTTCCTGGTATTAATGCCCTTAAGAATTTGAATCCTCTAACTCTGGAATGCACAGTATGAAACCAATTTGCAATAGAAGAGGAAAAAAGAAATCACTTCTATTTAATCTTTTGTATTACATTTTAGTAGGCCAAAGTCCTATTCCTTGTTTTTTTCAAGGCACTCCCCCAGAGAGAGTCCTAATGAAAGATCCAGGGCAAAATATAGCCCATTTAAAGGAAAAAATCTTTGAGACTTCAGTGTAAACTGCTCACTGCAGAAGTCTGTTTGCCTTTACAGCCAGGAAAGTCCAGTGAGCAGCAGAACTCAGGCCCACAGATGCCAAATTTCAGAAGTTCATTTAATAACTCTGGACAACTTGAATTCCTACAACAACAAGCGGATTTTGGAGCACTTGGATGTTTACAGAGCAGCAGCATCAACTTCCTGGTTGATGCATTTATAAAGCATTGTTGTGTGGCACTGGTCACGGGGGAATTGAAGCAGAGCTCCTGTTAGAGTAGGGAGAGCCTGGGCACCACCCCAGCCATCACAACAGGACCAGAGTTCTGTCATTCTGCAGGGACTCCTCGTTAAGCAGTGCCACCTTCTTAGGTAAATAACTTCCTTACTTTCAATTACACTCTAAAAACCAAAAATGAACCACTTTACATTTAAGTGTGTACAATCTACACAGGGTCAGCTTTAAAAATGGCACTGATGTATTTCAGTTCTTCATAGAAAAAGAACCAAAAATAAAAAAGCAAAATAACGCTCTGTAAAAATAAAAGATAAATAAAAACCACTGGCTTATACATCTGCACTTAGGTAGCAGATTTACAAGCAAATATATGAGACAGATTTTATTTTAAAAAAACCCAGGAGTCTGATCCTGACCAAGTGCTCAGTGCTTCCCAGCACAGCTCCAAGGAGCTGTAAAGCCTCAGTGTCCTTTAGGCACACTCACAGTGGTACCAGCATCCTCAAAGAGTCCCTGGAAACACAAGCAGGAGAGGACACAGGGTAGAGAAGGAAGAAACAATTCTGCAACACTCCCAACATCACCATGAAGAAAATGCAACATATGACAAAGCAAAAAGAAATATTGCTGCAACTAAAACTCAATGCACTCCACTTATACTGAACACTCCCACACTCTCAGTACTAAGCTTTAGTAGCTAAGACACCTGGTTTCATTCTGGGTATTCCATACAGAAACTTTGGACTTAGTGGATGCTTTAAGGTACATATGGCCATCAAAACATTTCTGAAGGGAGCAAAAGAAGTGAGCAGTTTCTATAAAAGAGGAAGCTATAAGGGATTTTAATTCCGCCTAAGCATGTTTAATCAAGTTCTCTAGTTCAGTAAGGCCACTGAAAGGCAAAGAAACACTGACTGCAGAGTGAGTAAAAGTACAAAAGAAATACCAGAGGATGGAGATGCCTCTGAACTGCAGTGACACATTCCTGTTCTACTCCTAACACCACATACTGGCCTACTTCTGCCCCACTGCAGTTTCAGGAATAACAAGGGTGACATAAACTTGTCCCATTTAGCCTTGTACTGCACTCACAGTGGCATTAAAGCACACTCATTTTTAGAGAGCAAGTTGGGAGCACAGACATACCACCTGTCATCGAAGTGCACTGCCACAAAAACAATGAAGCTACAAAATTTACATGGACAAAACAAAAAATTTTATTAGCAAACAAGTAAAGATTCATCATCACTGGTATTATTTTCAGAGAGGGAAGTAGATGACTGTAACATTGGCACTTCCACAGAATGGCAACAAGCTGCATGAACACCCAAAGGCTCCTCCTGGTATGAGTTAGGGCAACATTGGTTTTGTCCATTCACTTGGCTATGAACATTCATAGGGCTGTCTGGATAACCAGACTCCCACTTTTTTAAGGGCAATCTACATGGATCTTCACTCAGTGGATGACTTCCACTTAAACTACTGTCCTCTGGGACAGTCCTCCTGGATACTGACCCTCCATGGATCGTTTCTGTAACACTTTCAGATAAAGGATCTCTGAAAGCCTTTCCTGTATCTGCTTTACTGGGCTGCTTAAGCTCCGTGTCAGAGTCAGCACTTAAGGATTTATCGGTGTGTCCAGCCTCAGGCTCTGCATGTGCTGCTGTGCAAGTGTTCTGCTGGAAGATGTTGGAAGGCGATGGCTCTGTCGTGTCAGTCTCTGGCTGCAAGCTGCTACACCCAGCTCCTTGTGGGCCCCTGGCTGGGCCGTGTGCCTCGGAGCTCGGTCCTTCTGGGGAAGGGGGGCGGCTCCGAGCGGTGCCGATGATTCCATCGCCCAGGGTGGTCTGTGAGGCGCGGGCAGGAGGCAGCAGGGGGATCTGCCCTCTCCCCCGGGGTCTGTGGAAGAGCCTGCCCCAGAGCCTGCCCAAGCGCCGCCGCGAGGAGCCGCGCCGCGCCGCGTGGCGCCGCATCTGCCTCCGCATGGCTGTCCGGATGTTCTGCAGCACAGAAACCTGCAACACACAGCCAGCAAAGCAGCGTTTCACACACGCCCCAAAGGCTTGTCAACCCTCTTCTCCCCACCGATATCTCCGCTTTGCCACAATACTCACATTGATCCCTGTGCTTTCTTCTTAAATGTGTATTTTCTAACAAACCATTTGAGAACACCAAAGACAGCTCTGCCTGTACCAGAAGACTCTCATATATTCATAGAATGGTTGGCTTGCAAGGGACCTTAAAGATCATCTCATTCCAAGTTCCCTGCTGTGAACACCTCCCACTAGACCAGGCTGGTCAATGCCCCATCCAACCTGGCCTTGAACATTGCCAGGGAAGGGCAGCCACAACTTCTGTTCCTTACAGTGTTTCCTTTATGAGTTTCAGCTCTGCTTTTCTGCCCAGAAATTAATTTTCCACTAGAGTAACAAACTACAAGTGCTTTATCACATTAGGAATTGCATTTCAGATGGATACTTCTGACAGGGTGCAGGAGTTTTCTGAGTACTCAGCAATGAAACAGAATGACTTAATGGCTTGCCAGTGTAATTTGCCTGTAAATGAAAAACAATCATTTTTGAAAATTAAGAATTTTCCAAAAATCCTGCTACAGACTTTATTTTCTTATCATTTCAGGGGCATTTACAGTTTCAGCTTGAAAAGCCCTTTTCTTCTATTTTCTTTGTGACCATTCTCTCTGTCACTATTCATTCTGTCTTGATGTACAGCAAAAGTGTTTATCTCACTGCTGCTCCCCAACAAATACATTAAATGTGTTCAAAACTACTACTGTAGCAACTGTGGCTCTTCAGCTCCATGTAACACATACACATTATTATTTTCGCATAATTAGCACAGCCACTGAAATACAGTTCCAGATTGACTTTATCTAATTTATAGTAGTTTGGCTGCTGAAATATTAATTGGCACATAAATGTCTGCATACTTGTGATGCGTTGTAGACAGGGAAGTCCTCGACTGGGGGAATAAGTCCTTGTGCAATCAGCTGCCCGTAGGAAGGTGGAGCTTCCCGCCGCACAAACTCTGCCTCCAGCCGCGTCATCTGAGTCTCAAATGCTCTGGGAACAGAACCAGAGAGACAACATGGAACAGAAGTAACAGTTTGTCCTGCCTCCCTGACAGTAATGTAGAAAAGCACTGCCAAGGGGCTCATGCTAGGAGTAAAACCACAAACTTTCCACTAAGCTCCATGAAAATCTTATCAGGATGCAAAAACAAACAAAAGGACTAAGAGTACAGGGTATAAACACGAATATATCAAACCAGCAAACTCTCCAGTGCAGTCTCAGGTTGGACACTGTGGCAACTGAAGTTTTTACAACTGGCTAGTAATTGTTGTGCCAGTAAAAGCAGTAACTTGTGCAGCGAGGGCCCAAAGGTTCTTTTTGGAAAAGACATTAAGAACTGGAAACAATCACACAACAGGGGCAGCTTGCAGTTGCGGAGAGGTTTGCCAGTCCTGCTGGAACAGAAGCACTGAAGTTCCCACCTTAGCACAGCAGCTCTTTTGCAGGTCCTCAATCATGCAATTTGATCAGGAGAGAATGTAAAACACACTGTTTAAAACACAGTGCCAGCAGCATAGCACAGAGCTGGTGCACATGATGAGATGGGAACCAGAAGTCACTTATGACTCCTACAAGGCAGAATCCCACTTCTCACAGGCAAAGAAACACACACAAAGAAACTACATCTAAAATGAGGCATACAGAGCCACAGGAAAGGGGCAGAACTTATACCATGGACAGGCCCCACCATAGCAGGACATCACCTTAAGCAGAACTGAGAACTGGAGTATTTGGGGAGGGGTGAAGGGTTCTTCAATTCAGATTCAGTGAAGACTTCACTGTAGCAGTTCAGCAGTTTTTGGCAGGGGCAAGGGGTTTGTTGCAAGGAGATGAGAAGGAAAAGGCAGACTAGGTTAGAAACAGATTCTGCCTACCACAGAATAAAATCGTACTGCTCACAGACCACAGAAGAGCTGATATTCCACTCACTACTCCCATAAATCTTCTCTAAGCATAATGCAGTGACTACTATTTAGCTGTCATCAGGTCCTTGGATTTGATTTCACAGTATTTTGCAAATTCTCTGGTTAAGAATCAGCTTTCTTTTCCTTTTAACAAAATTGTAAAAACCACCACAGCTATGAAAACATCAACAAATCAAGACAATTACCTGTACTCCCTGGTCCTCAGAGAATATAATTTAAATGCACAACCCAGTGCTATCACTAACAGCAAGCCACACACAAGACTCCCAATCAGAGCAGCTGTGATGACCTTCCTGGGAACAATCACCAGGCAGTTACGTTCATCACTTCCATCCTGGCAGTCTTCTTGGCCATCACAGCGCCAAGTCTCAAAGATGCACAGATTTGTCCCACAATGGAAATTTCCTGGCTGGCAAGTAAAGCAGTTTTTTTCATCTGAGCCATCTGGACAGTTCTTCTGGTTATTACAGCGGTCAAGTATTGAGTAACAAAGCCCACTGTTTCCTTCACATGGGTATTCATTCTTCTGGCAAGCAGGACAGTTCTCCTCATCCTTGCCATTCGGACAATGCCACCAGCCATCACAATGCTGCTTATCTGTGAAACACTCCTCATCACTTCCACAAGGGTGCTCCCAAGGAAGGCAATAGCCTTTCACCTGATAGGTTGCATTGAATCCATGGCCAGTGCTCTTGGAGCGGGCATGGTATGAGACAGTGAGCTGGCCCTTTGACGACTCCACACTCACAGAATGCCTGTTGTTGTGGTGTGAAAACGTCTGCATTAATTTATCACCTCTCTCTCCAATGCCATCATACACCTTCACATAGTCATTGTAGCCTAACTGCAAATCCAGCTGCAACAGAACATGCCGATTATCCTGCGTGTCCACATACCACGTGCAACGAAGGTCTGACCTGCTGTGGTCAGCACGGAATAAGTCTGGAGAAGCAAAAGATCCATAAAAATTCCCCAGCCTTTTGCCACAGGACAGATCAGGACAATTATCTTCGTCCGAACCATCACCACAGTCTTTAACTGAATTACATCTCAGCTCGTTCATCAAGCACTTGGTGGAGTGTCCTGCACTGCACTGAAACATTCCTGAGGGACAGATGCTGGATGGAGGGTCTGTTGGAGGGACAGTGCAATTCTTCTCATCTGAGTTATCACCACACTCATCCATGGAATTACACTTCCAGGTACTGGGAATACACTTCCCGTTTGCACAGTGGAATTCGTCTGACTGGCACACAGACTGACCTATCTTTCCTGTGAAAGAGGACAATAAGAAAAAAAAAATCAGTACCAAAACTTTTGGAACTATCTGATACCACGTTTCAACATCTACTACCATGCATGTCAGAAGCTAATTAGTCAGGCCAGTACACTTCAGCAATACAGGTAAAAAGCCACATGCAAATAGTATCAGTGTTACCACCAGTACTTTACAAAAATCAACAGCTCAAGATGCTTGTCAAAAAAAAGTACTCCTGTCTTCCAAGTTTTGCCAGAGAGGGCATGAAGTGAAGCCAATGAACCCGTAAGATTTTACCTCTAATATAAGAAAGGCGAAATCCCTGAGCCTGTCCTGAGCTTGATGCATCTGAGTGAAAAAATATCCACACATGGTCCCTTGCAGAGATGAAAGATGGAGGTATGGAAGATCCACACACTTTGTACTCCTCCCTCTTGGAAGATGGGCCAATCATCAACCAGTCCACTGCACACTTCTGAGAGTCTTCCAAATCAAAATTCTTGAAACTGTCAAGGACAAAAGAAAGCACAAGTTACAAAGACACGTATCTGGAACAAAACCTAACAGAGAAAGAAAAAATCCTAATGGCTGACTTTCTGCATCAAGCAGTGCTGACATAAAGGTATCACATTCAATAATAATGAAACATCTACCTTCTATATATCACCTTGAGTATATAGAGACAAAGCACATCCCCTAATTTGGAAAAGCACCCATCTCACAAGCATAAACATCATACCAAAGCAGCTCCAAAAGCTGAAAGAATGAGTCCTCTTTTACTCAGTCCTTAAATAAAACTGCTTCCTAAAATACAGAGATGAAGAAAAGCAAAATTCCACAATACATTATACAGAAAGCAGATTAATTTCAGGAGTCATTTGCAACTGTAAAAGCTATGAAACTAGGGATGACAGGGTTGACTACTGTCTTGGAAAAAGAACAATAGGAAGCAGTACAAAGGACCCCAAAGGGCTAAGTATGAGACAAATCTCTCTTTGAGCCATGGATGGGCAAGGAGAGACCAAGAAGAGAATAGGGGTGGAAATGGAACCTAAAATCTAACACCATTATCTTTTAATTCAAAGATTAAAATATTCCCTTTCTGGGAGTGGAAATACAGAACAAACACGACTATAACACAGTCAAATTTCTAATCCTTCTGCTGACACAAGCCAAGTGATTATTCAATAGCAGCTTATCTGGTGCAAAGAGGAGCCTGTTTGCAGAGCACTGAGCACAGCTGGATAATATGCCTTAACCCGTGGCTCAAGAACCGTATGTGGTATTTGTTCTCTGATGAAACAGATTGCATTTCCATCCAGCAATCTGCAATGACCAATAGCAGATTGCAGACTGCACAGAAAAGCATCCTCATTAGGAAAGGGCACACTGTTCAGGACACTTAGAGATGAATTTTGGTCCTTTTCTATGCAACTCAACTACACCAAATTAACTTGGTAGAAATTTGTGCATACTTCATGCAAATATCTAGACAGAATTTTCAGAAAGGCAGAAAAGCTGTGGCACAATACAGATCTCCTTCCCTAAAGGATTTTTCACAAACATCAACAACAAATTCTTTGAAAAAGATACATGGAAAGATAATTTTCTGATATCAATGTGTATTTACAAAAGGCTGTCAATGCCTGCCAGATCTTGACCTTTGAAGCTGAAAGGGGAAGAACAGCATCCATGTTAATCATCTAATTCATTTAGGCAGGAGACTCAGCCTACCCACACCTCTAGATCCTGCTAAACACATTGGCTTAATAACTCTCAAAAAAAAATGTTATCAGCAAGAGCATGAGAAGTAAGAGAACACTGAAAGGGATAAGTTAAAATGGAAATTAAGAGATGAAAAACAACATATGTGCAAGGACAATCCACCCACAAATGTCCTTCCTCTTCTCTTTTTCTCCCACCAACCTCTGTGTGTCTTCCCAGCTGCGAAGAAATATTCCCACAGCACTTAATTCTTTGCTATAAGCAATCTCATCAAACTTCTGAAACCAGCATACTTTGCAAGGAAGTTTTAGATTACTGTGCAGACAAAATAAAAATATTTAAGTACTCAGCCATTCAAAGATAAACCAGAGCATTTCTATTACAGGTGTTCAGCATAAAATGCTCTTAATGATCAAGAAGTGAACAGCCACTGCATCATGAAAAAGAATTATCCAAAGCATCAGGGAAGCTATAGGTACTCACATAAAGTTTGTTTGTTACACGAGATGTGAGACAGCATTACTGAGCTACCACATCAGTTTTGCTCTTTGTAACTCATTTTGGCACCACACATCATGTAGGGTTTCAATAATCTACTTGGAGGATTGTTCATAGGAATTTTTTAATGAAAACTTTTTGACTAAGTGCTAGAAATACCCATCTGCCCAACAACAGAAATTTTTAAGAAAAGGGAATAGGCACTAAATTAAGAAAGGGAAACTCAAAACTAGGAAGGAGGGGTGGGAATGACTGAAAAATTTCTGTTAGTATGTTAGAAACAAGTTCATTTACTATATCTTTTGATGTTTTACTGTTGTAGTTATTTTAGATGCACCATGATGAACCTTAAAGAGGCAAACAAATTGTTCTCCTATTCTTACCCAGTTCCCAGCACTCCAACTGGGCCCCACAGCCACTCACTTCCCTCGCTCTGCTGAAAAGAGCTACTTTTGTCTATCAAACAAATAACTCAGCCATAGCATGGTCACACAGCACAAACTGCACAACCCAAGGGGAGAATTTGCCTATACAATAAGCTGTCTATAACTTACTTTAGAAAGCATGTCTTTATAAAAAAGAAAAAAAGAAAATATTGAATACTTTCAAGATTTATACAAAGGAAGAGTACAGAAAAGTCAGCCACATGCACATACCTTGCTTACACACTCCTTTGCTGATGACAGCAGTATCTCTCAAGAGTCTGCATTCATGTACAATTAATATATTTTACTTTTACCTTGGAAGTCTAGTACTGTACATTGCTAATAAACAGCTTTTTTTGATTGTGGAAAAGGAACAACCTTTAGTTCCAGCTTCCAATGCAGAAGCCCAGGCATACAGAGGATAACTGATTTTCCTCAGTGTCCCTTCTGGATCTCAGACAGATTCAGAGCAGAATCCCACACTTCTTCACTAGCAAATCCAAACTTCAGCCACAGAGTACAAGGGTGAAAAGGCAGAATAGGTTTGCAAAGGAGCACTGTGTTTAACAGATTCCTTAAGAACACCAAACCTCTCAGAGATACACAAGCTACTGAAAAAAAGAAGTCTTGGTACTCAAAAAGGGCAATACAGAATATTCACAGGAACAAACTCTGCTACAAAAACAAACATCTTAATCCCAAGTGCCTAGAAGTTTCAAACACAATTTCTCTGTGTATGTTCTAGTTCTAATGTGAAATTTTATGAGTAATAGATACCACAGCAGTTAAAATTTCTTCTGCTAAGAGCCAAAGCAAAGTCAAAGCAATTACGTCCCCCCTTATGCAAATTAATCAACAGATGTATTTTCAACAAACTTTCCTTCGATTAAGACATTGTCACTCTATTTCAGCACCCTTTTAAGTTATATTTCCCCTACTAGAAGTAAATTTTTTCTCATTTACGTTGATGTTGATTGTACACAAGACCAAAAGCATGATCTACTTGAACAAGCCCTCACCACAAAAACCACTGCCTTCTAAATAAATATGAAAACAACATGAATTCATATGTTTGCACTTGTAAGTATATAAAATTTGGCTTCACTTCATAATGCATTTGTGACAAGGTTTTGTGTTAGAGGTTTCTGCCATCCTACTCTGACCTTAAGTAGCCAACTGATTTATTTTAGCCAAGACTCCTGAATGCTGCATGCAGCCTCTATTGCTTTAGTCTTTTCATCATCCCTTATTAGATCTAGAGCTGCTCTGTTGTAGTCCTCTGAAGAATAACTTAATCCTGCTACCCACAAAACATTTATTTATTCAGCTGAGCTTTCTTAAACTGGAATGCAAATTTTTCTATCAAAAGGGTTGAACGACTATTGGTATACAGTGGAAATACAGGACAAAGACTTGTGCTTGTACTGCTTGTAGGACAACACAGACACTGCACAGTCCTTGGAAAAGTACTGAAGTCTGTAGTTACTGATCTTGAGGGAAGTCTCAGACCTTTTGTACCACAAAACTACATCATTTTATGTGACTAAAACAAGAAATGGGAGTCATACTGAAACAGAGAGTATTCATATATAACTCATGTGTTAAATCTGTAAGTCATCCATATCTCATGCAGCACCAGCCAGTACCATAGTATTTTTAAATATCTTGGGCAGGGAAGCACAGGATTTGAGAAGTAAAGCCAGTCAGTTCTGCTCAGGCACTTCTGACAGTTCTGCAGGACTGGAACAGGGACCAGGGGTCCATCCTACCATGCAAGCTGCAGGGCACAGGGTGTTAAATTCCAGCCCTTGCACTCCTCAGCTGCAGCCTCATCCCCCCTGCTCCAGACAATCCCCCTCCACCCAAGAGCTTCACTCCCAAGCAATGCTCCCCTGCTTTGGCATCTTGGCACATGGAGATAAAGGGAAGGACAACCTGGCTTTCCTCCAGGCTTTTTTTCCTCTCCACAACCAGAGCACACAGCCCTAGTTCACAACAGGGCAGGGAGAGGAAAAGGAGTAAAATATGGGTATTTCCAGCACTAGAACTATAATGTAAACAAAATACAACACCCATCACAGAACATCCTTTAAAATGGCCTGGTCCTCAGGCTGCTCTCACTGCTAACTGTGGATCTCCAAAACAATACAGGAACGCATAAGGAGACTGGTGGACAAGATCAAAATCACTGGACAAAAGTTTGCAGGTTTTGTTTCTCCTGAAAGATGCTATTGTCTTGCTCTTGGAATGTCTCTTCCACATTTTTATACAGAAGTACAATAGCGAATTAAACACTGAAAGTATTCAGATTTTGAGGATCAGAATAACTCAATGTGAACTGAGAAATGCAGCACTATGTTTTGTTTTTACTGAATGCTGCAGGAATCAGTAAACTCATCTGATCCTTTTCCCAGTGGCATGATACTGAAATAGAGGTTACCTCCAACAGTGAGCAGAGCTCCAGGAATTTACAGGAAATTACAGTATTAGTCATATATATCAGGTTTTTACTATGTACTCACATGAAGTAACAGCCTACAATGGTATCTTCCTACTATCTATTTTTACATTGCTGGGAAGTACTTCATTAAACCAGACTAACACAAACACACATTAATAATCTATATATATATGAGAAAAATGTGCTTCCTGCAAACCTAATGCTTAGCAGAGCTTAGTTTTTTTGCCATCTGCACTGAAAGGAACAGTAGCAGCTAGGAAAAAAAAAGTACTTCTATAAATAATGAAGGGAATTCTCTACAACCCTTTCAGTAATTTAGGCACGAGGGACTACAGATTAAAGAAAAAGAAAGCTTTCTTAGTAACTGGGAAAGGACAAACATGGGATGCAAAACCTGAATGAAAGCAATTAGTAAATAAATTTTAAAAAGTAAATGTCCAATTTGGCCCTCTAAACTCATTTTAAAAATTGGAGAAAAAATATTATGGATAGGTCAGTAAAGCACAGTCCCAAAATAAAACCAACCAGGCAATTAAGCAAGAAAAGTTACTCCTATTTGTCAACTTCTCACAGAAAGTGTAGACCTTGAACCACTGATGACTTAATTGGCTCATTAAAAACTTCTGCTTAACTACTGAAGCACAAGGACCTCAAGTCAGGAAAGCTCTATTCTACTCCCAGCTCCCAAGCACAAGCTAACTGCATAGCCTTAGACAAGAGACACTGCCTAGTAGGGGTTGTTCCTAGTAGGGACTATTTCTTCAAAGGCTGAGCAAGTAAATGGCTCTTATGAGTTTTTTTCCAGTTACTGTCAAGTTCTGAAACACAATGAGTATGGTAAATAGACTGTGAAACTCTTCACACAATTACAGACCAGCAAGAATATATGAACAGACCTCAATTTAATGCAGAAATTGAAACTCAAATGGTATCTGACAATTTCTTTTTTCAAAGCCAGTGTTAGGAATCACTGAAGTGAAAGCAAATGTAGGTGATCCCCTCACCTCAATTAATAAGAGACAGCTTGAGTGGGTCACTAAGTAGATCACTTTTCAAGTCTTATCGTGAATTCTGAATATGGAGAACATTTTACATGCAGTCCCCTAAATTCCAGTAATAAAATAATAAATTTACACTCCACCCACACCAGGGTTAATTACAACCATCAAGTAACAGCAACTGCTAAACAAAAATTTCTTTCATCATTTTCTTAGATATGAGGAAACATAAATCTATTAAGCCTGTAAGTGATGGTACAAAGGCAATTACTGCATATGACATCTTTATATGATCTTACGTGTTTTTTTGTAATCCTCTGTGAAAAGAAGCACAAAAATAGAAAAAATGGGTGGAAAAATCAAGTCGTTTCCAAAACAATAACTAGCAACTGAACACCTGAATTTAAAGAGACATGACATAGTCCTGAAAAACAGTGGCTACATTCTTTTCACAGGTCTCAATGGCACCATTCCATCAGACACATGAACCTGAAAGAAAGTACTGAAAAATGCATATGGAGTGGTATAAGCACATGGAACATATACTTCCTCTTCATGGGAAAGCTCCCTCAAGGATTTTGAAGCAGTAAACTATAAAGCAACACAAAGGGCATGGAAATGTGAGGATATTAAGAAAACCAATATACCCATGAAAGACAGACATTAAGACACAGTTTCTAAAGGAGATGGCCACAGAAGCCAGCATCTTACATACACAGGTAGATCTGGCCACAGCTCTACTGAAAGCTGCTGAAAAAAAGGTTTATAAAAAATAACCACCAAGTGCAAACAGTTTAGAAATAAAAAATACTTTCGATTGCAATTTTCTCCCTTAATGACGCCTGCTGGATCTCATTATATATATCTCTTACATAACACTGCTGTCTTGTTGTCAACGAGAATTCAAGATCAAAGGAAGTGCATACTGTGTAACACAACACAAAGGAGATGGGCTTTTTTGAAACCTTTCAAAATGCAGATGTTAGCACAAGAACTGTGTTTGATTTTCCTAGGAAAATTTAAAAAGCTACTCTTATGCCCTTACCAACACATTGCTAGAATAAGTAGCATATCCAAATGGAAATCAGAAAATGTTTCAAATGTTTGCATTTGAAACCTCCTAGCCTAGGCAAGTCAGCTCCTTCTTTTACATCTTTGGCATTGCAAGGGCAACAGCCTTGTAAAGAAATCCTCAGCTGCTGTAACATTTTGCATTTCATTCACTGGAGTGAGTAATTCCAAACACATTTATAGTTACAAACATAACACCACAACACGAGTCCCTGGGATGTAAACATGTAGTTTCTATTGTTTGCATGTGCAGAGGAGGGCAGGATATGGTTGTGCATTCTGTGACAGAAAACAAACCCATTAAGAAATCTTTCAAGTCATATTGCTGTGCATACATCTAAATTGTACACACATTATTACCAGTTGCCACACTTCATATTCCTTTGTTTCTCTAGCCTCTGTTACACTCACACTTGCAGAAAAGAGTCCCAATTCTAACTGGAGCTCTGAGACATTTTCTTAGCATAAACTGTAGCATTATTCTCCAGAGTCAAGTCCTGTGTCTCATTTGTATGCTTTCTCAGTTTCCAGCAATCTCTGCTTTGAAACAAATTCCCCACGTCCAATGTAATGTAATGGGGTTTAAAAGCATGTTTCTATGTATGAATTTAAAATGCTGGCAGGTATTTGCTTCATTACTTTTGATGAGTAGTTCCTACTTTGAACTATGGATGGTAGACCCTTCCTATTATTCCATCTGTGGCAGATTTGTTTTCAATTTCTGAGCATCTGCAGTTGAAGAGGTTTTGCAGTCCTTTTAAGCAGCTGAGCAAAGAATGAGCAGATGGTGTCAAATGTAACAGCACTAAAACCCCCCAAAAAACTTTTCCTAGGTTTTATTTTTTAAGTAAGAAATTCTTGGTTCATGAAGGATCCTACCACAAGCCACAGAGAAATTAGGCACATTCACATTATACCCTAAACATTCTTAACAAGCCATTTGCAGTACATTTTAATCTTTATTGAATAGCATTTTTCTAGAATTGAGCTGAAATTGTACCACAAATGCTAACTATTATTTGATTTGTTGGAAATAAATATTAAGCAGAAAAGCATGTGTCTTTTGGTAAACAAGTAACAATAAGCAATAATTATCTTCAACTGTATATTAAACATAGCACCATATCAAGACATTAGTGAAAATACCATTTTTTCTCCAAGAATTTTACATGCCCACTGAAGCTGTTCCAGGTTTTATAGCCTTCACCTACTCCTATTTATAAGCAACATAAAGAAGAAAAAGGGGACTATATAATGTGAGTAAATATATTGCTGTTTCCCACTCTCTCAAATGTCAGGGGTATATGAAATCTCACATAGGCACTGTGAAGAGAAATACTTTAAAAGACCACAAGTGACTCCTGTAATCACAGATGTCAGAAGAAGCCCACAGAAACAAGACAGAGCAAAGCATTTTTAAATAGAGAGAGGTGCCCAACCTGGAACCATGTTCCAGCATAACCAATTTCAGCTTTCTTTAATCATCCAGTGGCTCTGAAGACAGCCTCACATTGGTGTATCAGGTAAACTCACATTTTGTTTTGTTTCAGCAAAGCAATCCTTTACCTCCACAAATACCAAACCATACCTAATTGTTATCATATCTCCACGATCTCCTTGGATGTACCAGCTGCAGTTAATGGCTGGAGGATAGTTGGATGGCCAAGAAGGACTATAGATGACTCCCCGTCTCTCTGTGTGCTGTTCCAGTTCTCCACTGCAAGCAGCTGTTAATAAGGGGAGAAAAATCATACTGTTAATGCTTTGCCTAATCAACAATTCATATTAGCTTCAAAAGCTTTAATCACTTCCTGGAGACTGCAGACATATCAGAGTCAACAGTATTATCCTCTTTCTCCTTTCTTCCCTGCCCTGTTTTTTTAATTAAGACACCCACACCAAGTGTAGGTAAGCATAACCTGCATTTCAATGCAGGACCAATCAATAACTTTGTATGAATCTACCACAGGCTACAATCAATATTACTGCATGGATCTGCCAAGAGGATGTAATACAGAAATCCTTCTTACCAGTTTCCCAAAGCCTAGCTAGGTCACCCAGCAAGTGAAGAAGATCCAAATTAACTGTAAAGTAACTAGTAGCTCATTTTGTTGTAACATGTTCCTACACACGCTGTTTATTCTCTTAACCACATGAAGAGTTTGTAAAGGTTGAGAAAATACCACCACCCACCACACCCCCACCTCTCCCACAAAAAAGTAAACTGCAGTCCAATGTTAAATGCTTCCACTGAACATCACTGAAGTACTCTAAATTCCTTCTGAACCCACATAGATGGGAAAAATTTTCAAGACAGGGAAAGGAGCAAACAAGGCCAAATAAAGCTCAGCATTTTCAAAGCACATTTAGTTCTTCCTATGGAAAACAGCAGGCTACATCAAATACTTATAATCTATAATTAAGCAATTCAAAAATAAAAATTAAATGTTCCAAGGACAAGTTGAAAAGCTGTTCTGATAGGAAAATGTACTCCAAGCAGACTACAAGAGGGAAAATTCTCTGTAATGCAACAGCTATTCTGAATATTCTCCAAAAAATATTTAAACTATTTTTAAAACAAATTATTATCTAGAGCATGACTTGTGGACTGCAGCTGAACATTTCAGTTTTTGACAGAAGCTTACATTCTTGTACCTGAAAAACACAGCAAGGAAAAAAAAGGGTTGCCTATACCTCGTCACCTCATACATGTAAGCATTCAAATACACTGCATTATAAATGAGAGATTTACATGAAATCCAGCCACACAAATACACCATTTTCAATTCCCAGTTAGGATCGGATTTAGCTGCACTGGAGAGATGGAAGGAAGGAGTACCAGCACAGCTCTTGGCTGCAGTGAAGTCAGGAGGCAGGGCTGCCTACAGAGCTCCTGGTTGGGGCTGGGCTGCAGCACGTCCCCTCCAGGAAACCCAGGCCTGGCACTATTCTGTTTGCTCACAGCAAGCACTTTTAAAGTCAGAGCCACAGGAATACAAAAAACATGAGGTGAGTAACTCACCTGAGGCAAAATATAAAAATGCTATTATTTTTACTCTCCAGGTAGAGCATTCCATTGAAATACATGTATATAATTCCTACTAGTTTCAAAGGCCACAAAAACATAAAGAATACATAAACACATGAAAACATCTTTTTCCAAACAAATATTTTGTAGTAAGGAAGTTACAAAAACAAGAACATTTTTGTTATCACAGTTCTAAAAACAGAGCAGCTCCATGCCAGATACTGGAAAATACTGAGATGCAGTTTCAATTATAGAATTATAAAAGCAAATGCAAGACCCACAGGACTTTTCAACTCACTAGTTCTCAGCTTCTTTAGGTCTAGAACTGTGCTCCTCCACATACTTGTTACTGCACCAATATATCACAGTAGCAGAAGAGGACCAAGAGCTAGCAAACACATAAAAAGACTGCATTTCCTAACTGCCAGGCTACCAACACTTCAAAATATGAAAGAAACAGAATCTACAAGGTGAAAGAACAAATACATAAGACAGCACTATCCAGAGGCTTCCAGCAACACCTGTGCAGATATTTCTGCTGCCCTCATACCATATTATGTTCTGGATTAATATTCCTTATTTGTAGTACTTGCAATAAAACAGAGTTAAAACCACACAAAACTTATTTAGTTTCCATTTTGAGGAAGTCCCGCTGACAGGCTGATGGCTTCACATGAGCACTTCCATTCACACATCCATCAGTGGAGTTAGGGGAGCTATTATTCTCACAAATACTTATTTCTCAGTTTTAGGAAGTAATTACAAAGACTCTGAGCAGTAGTTACTTAAGTATCCCAGCGTTTTGAAGTAATATCACTACATATTTTTCTTTTGGAATAACGTAGTTTCTTAATGTAGAGGATCTGCTGTAACAGCACAGCTCAGGTCTTCAGTGAGAAATGCTTTTTCTTAGTAACACTGCACATCTGATATAAATGTGAGGCAAGAAAAAAACAAGCAACAAAAGAAACAGGAGAATTGTAGCTGTGCAAATCTAAGGACATAGTGAGGGAAGGGCTGCACTGATATTATATGTCATTTTTGGTAGTTCATCTGACAATGGCTATCGTTGCCAGTACTTTACCATGGCCTTATCCCCTCTGACACACATCAAGCTTTTCAGACTTGTCCTACTCAAAATCAAAAGGCCAATTGCTTAGCTCTTGCAAAGGGTTCGGATTTGAATGGACCACAAATCTGAATTAATACCTCTTTTGGTTTAAGACAATTTAAAGGAGAAGCCTCTGGGTCTAGGTATCTCCCTCGGGGTCCAAGTAAGTAATGAATGTAAGTAGATTAAGTGAAAAAATAACCCTTTACTAACAAGCAGAATAGCAACAATCGGAAACTGTGGATGCAACCGTTTAGTCAGAGAGAGAGAAACAGATAAGTTTCCCAGGCATTGTCCTGGGGAAGTTATGGGAATCTCAGAGAAAAGAATTAAAACAATTTTTATCTCAACCTGTACACTTGGTGTTTGTAAACATGTGGAATGTTGTACATCGTGTTTATGGACAAGAAGGTGTTGTTCCTAAGTAAAGTATTGGTGTGAGGAGTGTTGTTTGAGAACCAATCAGGTTCTGGGTGAACGATCCTGCCTATAAATATCTGAAGTTCCTAATAAAGTTTGACTCTCAAACTCAGGAGGTGTGAAGTGAATGTCGTTGCTTCTCACCGTTCCTAATCCAATGACGACAAAAAACAACAGCAAATAACGACTAAATACAAAACTGCTCAACCCTGTGGACTCCCCAAAACGAAGAGACCCCAAACAAAAACTGCCAGGGCTGCTCGGGATACGGGACAGACCGAGCCTAGGGCTGACCGGGATACGGGACAGACCGAGCCTAGGGCTGACCGGGGAGGGGACAGGCCCAGCCTAGAGCTGATCGGGGAGGGGACAGACCGAGCCTAGGGCTGCTCGGGATACAGCACCCACAGACACACAGCACCCACAGACACGCAGAGTGGCACACAGCACCCACAGACACACAGAGTGGCACACAGCACCCACAGACACACAGCACCCACAGACACACAGAGTGGCACACAGCACCCACAGACACACAGACTGGCACCCACAGACACACAGAGGGGCACACAGCACCCACAGAGGGGCACACAGCACCCACAGACACACAGAATGGCACACAGCACCCACAGACACACAGCACCCACAGACACACAGAGCGGCACACAGCACCCACAGACACACAGAGTGGCACACAGCACCCACAGACACACAGAGTGGCACCCACAGACACACAGAGTGGCACACAGCACCCACAGACACACAGCACCCACAGACACACAGAGTGGCACACAGCACCCACAGACACACAGAGCAGCACACAGCACCCACAGACACACAGCACCCATAGACACACAGAGGGGCACACAGCACCCACAGAGGGGCACACAGCACCCATAGACACAGCACCCACAGACACACAGCACCCACAGACACACAGAGTGGCACACAGCACCCACAGACACACAGAGTGGCACCCACAGACACACAGAGTGGCACACAGCACCCACAGACACACAACACACAGAGTCACACACACACACCACTTACAGAAACAAACACAACTCCAGCCATGGAACCTCAAAGATACAGGAACGAGTTTTGGGAACAGATGATTATGGGGTACACCATCATTACAAATGACACCAAGGCAGTATTGCCAAAACTTAATTACACTGTTTAACGATATGCCCACGGTCCCCTAAACCTGTCGGAGCAAACTGGGGACACACACATACATCCCTCCCGAACCTCACCTAATTGCCTCATGGTTTTGATGCCTTTTTTCCCCACCACCGTTCATTACTACAGACCTTGCAAACATCAATGGACCTCCTCCCTAAAGCAGTCCCCTGCCCCTCCCCTCCTTGTGCACTGACTGCTGCAAAGAAGAAAAGGTGAAGTACCCCAGCACAGCTTTCAGCAGCTCTTTTTTCACACACAAACATTTTGAAAGAAATACCTTTACTAAACACAGCCTTCAGTGCTGACAACTAAATCGTAAAACCACACAAGGGCAGAATTTTATACTGTGGGGGCTTCAATATTGATAAAAGGGTCCCAATTCCCTCCTCATCTCCTAGCCATGAAGTCTGTGAAATCACACACATGCCTAAGTACCGTGTTAATAAGCACTTAGGGCTTCAACGTGACACTGTGATTCCTTAAGGAAATAAACAAAAGCCTGCTCAAATTGCCAAAACAGCTAAAGGAAAGGGAAGTTCCTAAAAATAGAAAGGTACGGTCCTGGATTCTGAAGACCTTATCATCAGTGACAACACAAAAGAATAGCAGTGATAACAGTTTTTCAACAATTCTACAGCCTTTCTGCACAAACCTAGAAGAAAAGCGAAATCTAAATTCACTACAAACTCCAAACTGCTTACATTTCCCACATTTAGCATTACTGAAGAAACAAAAATACCAATGCCTGGATTGGCCAACCAACTCAGCAAAAATCTAACTGAAATGGTGTTTTTAAAGAAAAGATAAATTATAAAGACAGACAGTAATAAATTTCTTCCACAATAAAAAAACCCTGAACAACAACAAAAAAAAAAAAAAAACAACAACAAACAAACAAAAAAAAGTCAAAAAAAGAGAAAACTCCAAACTTTAAACACATGCCAGAAGAGATTGGAGTTCAGAGACTTTCTGTCAAGAGCACATAAATCTTAATGAGGCTTTCTGTAACAATCAAATGGATTTCTTCTACTGTAAACAGCAGTAGATTCCCTCTGCCAGATAACTATGCCACAAATACGTGCAATGATGTTTCCAAAAACTTTACATTAATAATATCACTCTTATTTTTGCAAGAGCAACTGTAATAAAACAGACATTAAGCTTCATAAAAGGATGGCACTGAGGATACTATGCTGTGCTGGAATAAATTTTCAGACAATCCCAGACAAAAATAAATCCTGGAGCTTCACATTCTTCTGCACCAGGGCCTGTCCCAGTCAGAAGGAACACATCCCAACCATCTGCTCCAGGATAAAAGATGTTTTGCACTTGCCACAAGGAAACTCCTCTCAAAACCAAGTGCTTGGCAATACACATTTCCTCAAGCAGCTGTCTCAGAGTCAGCAGGAAACTCTCCCCAAGTTCTCACAATGCTCCCTCAAGGAGGGCTTGCACACATGGTTTAATGCAGATCCCTTATGCCTGTGGGAAAAGAAGACTCAAGGCTCCCCTTTGCTTTGCTCAGTCTCCAGCTGGCTTTTTCTGCCCCTGATCAGAGCCAGTAAAGGCAGAGTCCAGGGGTTCCACCTACAGATGTGACAAAATCTGAGCTCACACAGCTCGATCAACAGGCCAGCCTAGCTTCTCATGAGCACAGGTAAGAGAAGCTACACACGGATGGATCTCGCTGTTGCAATGACCTTTGTTGATCATTTTTATCCCAAGCTCCAGTTACACCATCAGGAGACAAGGTAACTCAAAACTGTATGAAGACAAGAAAACATGAAGGCTACAATACTGTGGGGTTTCCAGCATACTTGTGGAATAAAAGCCAGATGTTACAACCCTATTTCTAGTGAAAAAAAAAGTGTTAAAAAGCAGCAGAGCCAACTGGAAGCACTTCTACATATTTTAGGCTGGGACAGTATCACCAGTCTAAGTAAGCAACTGCGTAATTACTTAATTTGCACTCTGTAAACTCATGCATCATAGACAAAACAGATGCCAAACTCCACCAAAAGCTAAAGAACCATCCAGGCAGAACATACTAAGACATAAATGACACTCTGTACTTTTTCCAATGAAAGAATGGAAAATACCGTGCTGCAAACAACACATCTCCTGCATGGTTTATCCACACTTTCTCTAAACTTAATTTAAGCAGGTTACCTAATCATAAAATTACTACTTTCTCCTGATTTAAACCTTCTGTCAACCCCCAATTTTGACTTGAACACTCAAGCTCCAACATTATTTAATCTACTGTCCTACAATTATTTTTGTTTTCCAATATCCTTTCCTCCCATCTCTCTTATTTGTCATTTTCAGTTTTAATATAAGTTACAGCCTCTCTGGGAATAAAGTACATCTACACATACAATGGTAGATTGACAGTCACAAGAGGGTCCTTATCACTAAGAGGACCCTGACTGCAATATTCCCATAATGTCAGTAAGTCACAGCACTGCTAGAGAGAAGGAAATTACACTAACTGCTGCAATTCTAGTTGAATTTCCACACTGACATTCATGAGACATTTTTAATATTCTTGTTTTAGCTTCTTCAGGAATGAGCCAGTCTCCCTGACTTGGTGCTCCCAGGCATACTTCCTAAACACAGAGTTTTCTCCCAAACATACCCAGCAGTACGACCTTAGCCTTAAGCAGACAATTTTTATCACAATGATGCAGTCTATAATCCTGTTGTGCTTTAAACCCAAATGAAAATAAACCCCAAGAAGCCACTCCCAACTCCCCCAGGTGAGAGAGATGAAATGCAGATTAGGGGTTGAGATAACAATTTACTGTTACTGGAACAATTTTCAATTTAATAGCAACCAGATAAGAAAATCAGTGCCAGCAGCTGTGGCAGAGGCGATGCCCCAAGGGGCTCAGGGCCAGGAGTGACCCAAGGCGGCTGCAGCCTCTGCTCAGCACCCGGGCCTGGTCCCCACTGCCGGGCCACAGGGGACAGCCCCAGCATGGGGACAGCCACCCCGGCCTTGGGGACAGCCATCCCTGGCCTTGGGGACAGCCCCGGCATGGGGACAGCCATCCCTGGCCTTGGGGACAACCCTGGCACAGGGACAGCCACCCCCACCTTGGGGACAGCCATCCCTGGCCTTGGGGACAGCCCCGGCATGGGGACAGCCATCCCTGGCCTTGGGGACAACCCTGGCACAGGGACAGCCACCCCCACCTTGGGGACAGCAATCCCTGGCCTTGGGGACAGCCATCCCTGGCCTTGGGGACAGCGAGACTGCCAAGCCAACCTGGCCTTGGGGACAGCCACCCTGGCCTTGGGGACAGTGTGACAGCCGAGCCGTCCTGGCCTTGGGGAGAGTGGGACAGCGGGACTGCCAACCTGGCCTTGGTGACACCAGGACAGCAATCCTTTGCCCTTGGGGACAGCGGGACAGAGATCCCTCACCTTGGTGACACCAGGACAGCAATCCTTCACCCTTGGGTACATGGCACAGAGATCCCTCATCTTGGCTGGCACCACAACAAAGCCCAGGAAGACTTAAAAGTCCTCAACTTCCTAAGATGCAATCGTTAGTTTGTCTTAAACGTCATTTAAAAAGTCACTCTTTCATTAGAACACCCCTCTGTATGGGGAAGAAGCAGTAAGAGCTCAAATGAACAGTAAATACAGGTAAGAAAAGTATGTCTTACCTAATGAGGTAACAGCACTTTCTATTTTCCCAGTCAGGAAGAGGTTCACTGTGTAAAGACAGAAAAACAATGTTCAGACAAATTCTAGCAGTACAGGGTGGCAGTCAATAGTTAACCGTTTCTAGGTGTTTGCTGGGGTGTTAACACAAGTGCATTGCAGCTTCCCAACAAGAACTTTGCTTATCTGCACAGGCAAGTCATCTGATCAACTATTATCCTTCACTGTCGCTAAAACAAGTCAATACACAACGTACATTTAGTATCTCTGAAACATGCTACCAAAAGAAACAACTGCCAATCCATTTTAAATTATATTCCATAGGATTAATTTTAACTGCAGAACACAGAAGAACAATCACACTAAAACGCCATTACTATCCTTAAATACTTCTCTGAATAAAGCAAAGTTTCTCCCCCCAGGTAAATGTCACCTTGAAAATCAGCTGCTAAAGCTAACATGATTGCCTTGACTAAGCAAAGCAATGAAGTTTTCAACAAGGTCCACTAATACAATCAAAACAGGATGAGGCAGTACTTGCAATACATATCTGACTTGCAAATTAGTTCCAAAGACTCTTCACTTTCTCAAAAGTCTCCTCTCACAGTGTATACCATTAAAATGATCTGGAAAGAGTATTTACTGCCAAAGAAAATTTGTCCTGTGTCATTGCTGCTCCAGAAGTCAGCATTAATACATAGTTCCCTATTAGCTTCCCCACACTTCTTTAAAAATTAGTGTCCCACTGACTGCACTCATTTCAACAGTAATCTGAAATCTACAAAGCCTAATAACAGAATGACAAATGCTTAAAAAATTTAAAAGGTTTAAAATGTTACCAAAAACTTAATTTACAACATCCCAGCCCAAGCACTCACTTTGGCTTTATTTTGCATATGTTAAATCCTAAATCTTTTAATAGGCAATCTCTTGGCAAGAATTTAAAAACATCATTTAAAAACCAACAATAGGAGAAGAGAGGAAGAGAAACCGTCCCTGTTCCCAACAGTCACTTAGGAAGCAGCTGACAATTAGCACTATTTATGGCTCAGAGTGTGGGCCCCCATTGTCTTCTACACTGTCTAAACACATCCCAAAACAATGACTCTTGCACTGACTACCTTCTGTCATAACTTAAACCAGCACAAGAGGTACAAAAAGTACTAAAGGGGTGGAAATAAAAAACAATGCCTTAGCTTTCCAGCTCAGGCCCACTCATGTTTTTCAGTCACCACACTGCAGCAGCCCAGGTGCCTACAGCAGTCCCTCCATGACTTATATCTGGCTATCCACAGTTTGGATATTCTCCTTTTGGGAGGACTGCTACAGGCCTCAGGCTGAGGCCAAGCCCTGCAAAAGAGAGAGAAAACTGCTCCTGGGGTCACAGACTTCAGGGGTCTGCCTCAGGGACAAGGGCAATGACTTCCCCTCCTTCTAGGCAGTCTTGGACTGAGCTTTTGGGAATACACAAAACCAGGAGGGCAACTAAGTGGCAGTGTATGTAATGCCACAGCTCGAGGAGAAACACACCTGAGACATAGATTTGTGTCAATAAGCATTATTATGATGTTCCAAGGACCCTAACAGCGCTGATTTTATTACACAATTAGCTAACATTAGTAACATTTGTTATACGATAATAGCAACGTGCTATTTCTCCTTTCACAGTGCTAGTTTGTTCTGTTAGGTAAGAGTACCTAGGAGCAAAAATACTATCTTGTACCAGGAAACAACACAGCCCTGTTAACTGTGGCAAAGCAGCACATCTGTTTGTGAAAAACTCTGGGTCACAGCAGTAACAGCAACACAACATTTCCTCATACAATATTAAAGTGCCACTATCTGTAACCATAGTAATATAGTCCTAAAGACTGAGATGAAATTAATCCATGATTATGTCACAAATTTATATTCATGAGAAGTAAAATACTAGGTTTTGCTCCATAGAAAGTACATGAATACACTCTGCATGACTGGTATCAGCACAACTGAAAGCAGTGTTTGAAGATACATTGTATGGATAAATCTGGGTCAGTACTGCCATTGTAATCTTTATGTTTCTACCGGAACACTCCCAACTGCCACAAGAGAATCAAGCTCTGAAGCAGAGGTTTCCTCACACGGCTTATAAGAGGCCCCTATTCTCTTTAAATGGAAATAAGTAGGATAAAGACAAGGGGCATAATAGAGTGGAATTAGCCAACTCAGAGCCACATTACTGAGGATTGTTAAACAGAGAGCCCTAGTTTACTACCACAAATGTAGTTACAGGCAGCCTTGAACATCACACTTGGCAGATACCTACAAAAAAGAACTCCCAAAAACACTAGTTTATCTCTGCAAAAAACTTTTACTGGCTGTAGCTGCAAGTTCTTCACTCTCATTTTCAAACCCTTTTATACCAAGTCAGCAAAAACAGTTCTTTAAAATAAAATCTAAGTCTCACATCAGATGTTTTCCCAAGCAACTGAATAAGCTTATGGTTTCCAATACCCATTTTGCTCACTTAAGACCATCAAACCACAAGAGCACTGTTAAACCAGCACCTAGCTCTCAAAACTGTCAGAGGCCCATAAGAAAGAACAGCCATTTCCTGCTGATTTTGTCTCTTGTCAAAATAAAAACAGGTGAGAGACCAGAGTATTTGAACGTTTCCTGGATTCCCTTTTTCTTAACTGTTGAGCAGTTATGGGAAAGCCAGAAAAAAATTCCTGAAGTGGTTCAGTTGGCTTGAACTCCATGTAGGAAACTTATTGTGCCATTCATTTGGATTGCTAAATAATTCTCAGGGTGAGATTTTCAGCTTGGAAAGTGGCTATTTGGATTAAAAAGGAAATTAACATCTTGGCACCTCCAAACCAAATGACAGCTACCAGGCTTTCCCCACAGCCAGAAGGAGAGACATCAACTTCACTGATTCCTTCTTATTTAATAACTTTCTATGTCCTCCAGAATTTCTCAAGAATGATAAACAAAATGGCTTCACAAAAGAACAGTTGAAACAAGCCCAATTCCAGTCTTTGGAGCAGCAGTTTACAGATGAGGTCACACAGAAATGGTCAGTGGCAGTGCATTGATACAGACACCAAACACCCACACACAGGCCATGGGAAAACAGGAAGGAATGGCAAAATGCAAGAACCAAAAACAAGGATGAAAGGACAGACAAGCAGGAAGTAAAATACATAAAATAGTTAAAGTAGCAGCATTATATTCTTATGGGTTCACTGAAGCAAAATACCTTACAAGCTTCCCACCTCTCATGTTTCTCAACTTCCACTACTGTCAGTTGTGCAAGGAATAGGAATAAAACATTCCAGCTGAAAAGAAGAGCCAGACAATGAAATTCTAGAAGTCATAGAAAGCAAAAATCTACTAAACTTTTAGCCTGACATCACCCACACCTAAACACAACAAGTGTTCTCACTTCACCTCTGGAGTTTACATAACCTTTTATTACCTCATTAGTCATTTTAACAATAACCATGCTATTTATGCCAACTAATAAAAGGTTTAACAAAGGTCTGACTGGGTCACAAAAAAAAAAAAAAACTAAACAAAATTTAAAAAACTCAAAACACTCCCCAAAAGCCAAAAAGAAATTCAAAGATACAAGGAAAATATGTCTCTTTCTCTAACTTTAAGTAAACAGTGTAGCAGATATTATCCTCATGCTGTGCACATCTCTGACATCCCGTTAAGACTCTGCAAAAAGAAAGAGTTGTACGACCTGGATGTTCAAACTGTTTTATAGTTTAGCTAGCTTTTTATATTGTACTTACTTTAATTAAAATAGATACATCTGAAATAACCACATCAACCTTTAAAGTTCAACTTCCTACATTTTTCTAGGTGAGCACTGATGTTAAGGAAGCACTTTTACAAAAACAAGCAATCTGTTTTACAGAACAACCAGTCTGGCCACAAGATATCCCTTTCTGATCGCTTGCATAACGAATAGTAACTGTCACTTGGGATTATTAAAAATTAACTCTAATCCACTTCATTAGCGAAGAGATGTGGGTGAAAGCATTCTGGATCAAGGAGCTGTGACAGTTTACCAAGTCTGGGGGGCTCAGTGCAGCCCCAGCAGTGCTCAGGTGCTCCTGGCTTTGCTGCCCAGCAGAATCCCGTGGCAGGGCGCAGGAAGGGAGCAGTCAGCTCCAGCAGCTCTAACTTCACGTGCCCTGTTACACACACGGGCCTGTCGTTCGCTCCTTCCCGTCACAGCCAGGCGCCAACGCTGCTGCCTAACAAAACCCATCTCCCCACACTGAACGGGCTGACAGACTGGCAACCAGCGATCCGCCTCATCACGTTGCCATAAATTAACACCTGCTGAGAAGCAGAGCGGAAAGCAACGGCTTCAAGCAGAAGGGAGGGAAGAGAGCAGAATATGGCAGAGACACGGAGGGAGAGAAAATGTTTCTTCCCGCTGCCGCTCAAGAGAAGGGCCAGGCGGTCCCCAGCCGAGCCCCGGCGCCGCTGCCCGCACAAGCCCCGCACAAGCCCACGGCAGAATCTGTGATGCCTCCCAAACTTTTTTTTTTTTTTTTTTTTTTTTTTTTTTTTTTTTTCAGGGCTGTGCGAGGTTATGGCAGCGCTTCCAGAGCCAAGGGCAAGGCGATGGGCTCCGTGGATCCGGCAGCGCTCCGCGCCGCCCCAGCACCGCCGGGCACGGCAGCCCGAGCGAGCCGCGGCCGCGCCGGCGCTCGCCCCGCTCGGGAGCGGGGTGACGGGGGGACTCCGCGGGCACCATTCGGTGTGCTGCAGCCTCGTCCCATCCCGCGCCCCCCGCCCGCGGGCACTTCCCGTAGGGGAGGAGGGGGCCCGGCGGTCCCCACGGCCGCTGCCGTGCCCGGACGTGCCCCGCCGCCAGGGAGCGGCCGGGCCGCACTCACCCAGGCAGATGGCAGTGAGCGGCGCCAGCGCGCCCTGACGGAGCTCCGCGGCCGCTGCCTTCTCCATGGCGGGTCGCTGTCGCCTGCCCTTCAGCGCGGGGGGAACCGCGGAGGCTCCGCGCCCGCCGAGCCGCTACGCCGAGCCGCAGCAGTCGGCGGCACCGGCGGCCCGCGGTGCCCCCGCCCGGCGGGGAGCCGGGAGAGGAGCCGGGAGAGGAGCGGGCGCCGGCCGCGGCCCCATGGCCGGGCCGCGCCGCCGCTCCGGGGCAGGTGGCGGAGAACAGACCGCAGCGCCGCCGCCGCTGCCCCACGTGACAGGCCCGCCGAGCGGCTGCGGCGGCCGGGCCGGCGGCGAGGGGAGCGCAGCGCCGCCCCGCTCCGCTCCGCGCCGCGCACACCTGCGGGGCCGCCGCCAGCGCCCGGGCGGAGCGCGGCCGGGGGCGGAAGGGACGGCGAGGGCCGAGCCCGCCCGCGCAGCGCCGGCCGCCGCGCTTCCTGTCGGGCACGGCTCTCCCCGCTCCGGCCGCGGCCATGGCGCAGGCAGCCCGCGGCGGGCCGGGCCGCGCAGCGCCCCGCGGGGCCGCCCCCGGGCCGGGCGGTGCGCGGAGCTCCGGGCCCGTGCCGCGAGGCCGCGCCCAGCGCCCCCCCGGCCCCCGGCCGGGGCACCCGGTGCCTTCTCCCGGCAGTTTCCCCCGGTGCCCCGGATCCCTTCTCCCGGCAGTTTCCCCCGGAGCTGCGCTGCGCTGGCTCCGCTGCAGCTCCCGCTGCGGTCGGTGACGGGCGCCTGCAGAAAAGCCTCCCCGGGAGCCCGGCTGGCCTTAGAGCTCGTACAGGCGCTTCACCCGTACCAGGTGTTGGGCCCAGCCCTTCCAGCCCTGCGGACCCTGGAACAAGTCCTCTGGTCACCACACAGGTAACGTATCCAGAGCAAGGCTGCCACTTTGGATCACCGTGAACCAGGTAAACCCATCCTCTCCCGCTGAAAATGGACAAAGCTTAATGTGGTAACAAGCAGCAAGACGACAGCAGAAGTTAACTGGCACCTTCATGAAGAGAATTGCAGAAGAGTGCAAGGGGCAGGTACCCCTGCTTAGGTTGCCCTAACAGCTACAGTGAACCAGCTCTACCTCACGTTTGCTGAACTTTTCCTTGTTTTCCCATTTGCAGGTGCTCACATACTCCCCCTGAGAACCAGAACCAGTGCTTTAGGCCTTTTTATTTCAACAATATAAAGTGTGGCTATGGTAGTGCGTGGGGTTGAGATCCTTACCCTCACTGAGCTACAGACCTGTGCCTTACCTTTTCCTTATCAACTCCTTTGTTGGAATTATTATAATTGTAATTCCCATTTGCCTATCACTCTGGCTCTTAATGAATGCCTGAGGATCAGTAATATCATGTCAGGTGTACCTGGAAGGAGAGAAATGGATGTCACAAGAAATGGTAAGTGGATCAGTACAAAGTTTACCTGTAGATGAGCAGGCCCCACATTCAGCACAGCGGTGAGCTGTCTGTTCTGCAGATACAGCCTAATTCACATGTGTCTGTGCAATTCTAAATAGCATAATAAATCACACAACAATTTTTCACAACTAAACTCTTTGTAATCTAACTAGACAATTCTTAAACCTCTAATGCACCCATGATTGTAAAATCATTTCATCTGGGGATTTGAGCACTAATTCTCAAATTATGAGTCTGTAAAAGCAATAATGGAATGTTTCATAAAATAATTTTTCCTTGGTGACTCTATTATTGTAATTTTAAAAACATATATAGCCACCTCTACATTCTGATTTAACCCTTTTTATGGTAATTACAGTAAATTGCATCTCTCATTTCCATTAAATAACACCCTTGCACCTCACCAAAACAGTGGACTCTATAGGATTGAAAGCAAAATGATGGATGCAGACTCTTTTAACAGATTGTGTCCATGCCACTATCTTGTCAAGATAAAATCCACTCAGTTTAGAGTTACACTTTGATGCTCACATAATTAATTAAAAATTTTGACACCTAATTTTCGGTCACACACTTTTGTGTTAGCATAAATATATATTTTAGGAAATTATATATGAAGGTACATACGTGTATGCTTTAGCATCTGCTGACCTAGGGAAATTAATTATCACATCACAACATCCACTTTGAAAACACAACCAGCAGAGCCCATCCTAGGTGCTCTACTTCAGGGTAATTTGCAGACTATTTTAAAATCACTTTAAAAGAGTCACACCAAACTGAATCACTGTTCAAGCCAAGTGTCAAGCCTTCATATCCCATTCCAAAACATAATACAGAGATGGCTCTAGGAGTAGATGTTATACATTATGTATGCTATAGGTATGCTCATTCATTTTAATGCTTTTGACAGAACTGGATCACGAAAAACTCACATAACACCACCAAAATAAAGTTTTGATAAAGTTTTACTGATACTACAGTTCTTAAAAATATGCAGTAGAAAAATGAAGACGTAGAATGATACAAAGATTATGGATTCTGTTAATATTAGTACTAAAAAACATTAAAATAACTTGGAACCTTAGCCTGTCCATGTGTGTAATACTTGTCTTACTGTGATTACATGCCATTTTATTACTTTATTCACATCAGTTTCCCCTGTATCTAGTTTTTGTAACTAATAAAAGCTTAGGTTTCTTTTACAAGCATGTCTAACTATGCATTAATTTGGTTGAGATTTCTTTAGACTAAGACTATAATTTTATCAATTCCACAAGCAATTTATATGCATTTATCTCCTTTTCAGCATGTATTAGTTTCAATGCATGTACAGATTTGTGCAGATCAGCAAGTCTGCGATCCCATATAATCACCACTGTTCTCTTTTGACAGCTGGCATTAAAGAAAAGTTGGGTAGAAAACATGAATGTGGTAAGACATGATTTGTCTCAGCCTCACACTGTTCATCTCTGGTTTTATTGCATCACTGCACAGCACTATCTAGCTGCATTTAATAAGGTTTACATTTAGTGACAACTACACTCTCCCTGAAAGAGAAGAAAATTCTCAAGGGTACTTTGCTGTACCAACTCTAACACTATTTCTGCCTTGATCCATTATAGATCATTACTAAACCTCACAGTGATCTATTTTCCTTCCTCTTCTTTAGGAATTTGTTATTCATGAATTTTGTGTAGAGCTGAGAAACCCTGTTATAATTCACATTCATTTTATAAAATGTGATGGGAATAAATATGAGCAATTTGGTATCACAGGAAGGCAAATACAAATTGTTTGATGGAGAAATACTGTAAGAACATCACCAATATATAGGCATTTTTCCAAAGAGAGTGCAAAGCTGTGATATTCCTCTATGACATTCTGAACATCCTATGAAATCCTGAGTTTGTATCAAGCAGACCAGATTATGAGCAGCAATTACATTAGGGTAATTGCTTGAAAAAGAAAATAAAATTACTCTCTCTTGAAAGGGTTCAGTTGTCTTTGTAACTACTATCAAGGCAGCTGTAATTGCTATAATAGGGTTTTTTTTATACTTGTAACTTAGCTCTCTTAACAAAACTGAAGGTCCACACAACCTCTCCATGAAGTAAATTATGTCTCATTTGTGTTTAATTATGTTACTAAGATCAGATTTTCGAAACATGCAGA